GGAATGCTGGCTTGGATCCTAGAAACAGTATCTCCACATTAACCACGTGGAGATATATCTCCACATTAACATGATGTGTGGCATCACTTTAGTACTGGTTTTGAGGAAACTGCCTTTCTTTTGAGATCCTTTCCACAAAAAAGTGGATGACTATTTGTCTGTTCTCTTCAACAAACGAATTAACAACAATCTTTGCAAGACAGAGGCCACCATTTCCTAATAAACTTGGCATAATCAAGAAACATGGAGGCACTCGTGCTGCAAAATACAGCTCTGCCAAGACATCATGGCCTGAATCCTGGTTCTGTTCCACATCACTCAAACTTGCCTACACAGCCCCTGTCATGGTCTCACATGTTCTAGGCTGCGAGAACAGTAAGAAGTTCCTTCAAATGCCATGTTTAATTTTCCTAGGAATCACTGTCTCTCCACAACAAAAGCCCTGTATATCCTCTCCCTGTACCTGCAAAACTGATTGTAGATCCATGTTTTCTTTTGGCTCTTGCAACAAGAGATCTTGCCTGCTTCAGTCTTCTGAAGTTAGTATCTTCCTTTCTGAACAGTGGTCAAAGGTTCACAAAAACAAATACACAGACACTCACTACAGAAGTTTTCCACTTCTAACTCCGTGCTTCTTTGCAAAAAGGATATAGCCACTAACATATACCTTGAAAACCAAACTGCATGATTCTAAATAACTGGCAAATGTCAGCCTCAATGTGATCCAGTTGCAGGATGAGAGACCTAAATTTCTGCGTCTACATAAGACACAGCTGTTTAAGACCCCCTTACAGTCACTGGAGATCCAGTCAGCAGAAAGAAGTCTAACAAACTATTCAGCTGAGCAATGAGTATCTTTATTAGAATAAAATACATTGCTTTCTTGATTTCTTTTATTGTATTGACCTGATCCTTGAATACTATGGGTGTTAAGGCACTTAATTCACACATAGGAAGTTACCTGTAAATGTCTTAATCTGGAGGTGAATCCCACCCTACTAATCTAATAAAATAAGCCAGAATGTTTGTAAAGAACTGTTTTCCTCCATGATTTATTGATATTCATGTTAAAAATATTTGATTGAGGAATGCACTTTTCCCCATGCTAGTGCATTTGTGCAATGTTAGATAATCAAAGCCAATTTAAGAAGTGAGTGCAACAAAAATGAATTACGCATAGGAAAAACCTCAGGTTCAGATTATATAACATAAAATAAAATAGGAACATTGAATCATAGTAGGGAAAAGGATTTTATTTCAGAACTTTTTTTCCAGTCTACTTGTAAGATATTAGAGCTGAGAGGTAAAGACCTGCAACAATTTCTGGATGAGTAGGTTCTAACATTTTTTGGTTTGAAATATAAGACTCACCTGTTCTGCTGCCTCTCTTTTGACATTGTAAGTATCCAAGTGTTCCTGGAGCTCTAGAACACTGAACTTCAACGTTTCTAGCAGGCCACAAGACAATAGCTGGGAAGACAAAAGCAATCACCTCTGTAGTCATGTAACATCTGACTATAATCTATATAGTTCAGTTTTACATAATATGAAATTCTAAGTCCACATTTGGAAAAACAATCAAATTAGAATTAGTGGGTACTGGGTACAGATCATTTGTGACACCTTTGAGCTGGCAAACTAACACAGGCAGATGTACCAGTTAAATCAGTGAACAACAGTTTTGATTCAAAAATAAAGACAGCACCTAGTTAACATCTGAAGAGATTTCAAGGTGACTTTTAGATCTTTCAAAAAGAGTAATAGTTGACATATACACAGCTAGTATTAATAGAATAGCCTGCAGCAGGAAAAAAGGTTTTGCTGGATTGCTCCTGTAGCAACTGAAGGATTGCCCAGTAAGGGTTGCTTCCACTTCTCAATACACAAACTAGACCACCAGCAAAGGCTTCAGTCTCTAGAAACTTGGATATGTGAAGAATTTTCTACCATTAATGGCTTTCCCTTTCTCAACATAGTTTCAAAATCTGTTTCCCTCAGGGGCTGCTACCTCAGCTTTGCTTCACACTTTCTCCCTGTAAAGTTTTATTTCCACTTATTTATTATTAATCCTTCTCCTGTCACTCCCTGTAATAATCATGACTCTAAGATGAAGCTTCCTCCCTCACACTGGTCACCCCTTGCACGCATGAAGAGCTCTGTACTTTTCTCCAATTCCTGTTACCTGGTACCTCTTGGTCTGCTTGAAAATGCAACATTGTGGCACGGAGAGTCACAGTATCCCACCTTACTCAGGGGAAAGGATATGTGTTTTTCCAATTGCATTAAGTCTGTTATTCTACCGCCATATTAAGACACTGTACTCCCAACCTCTATGTCCACATTGACAAAGCAGCAAGTTATGGCTCTGTGGCACATTGCCACTCTGCACTCAACATGTGCAGTAACTCCAAAGTGCAAAGAAGTCAGAGGGCATCTCATATCAGCAGTAGGCTGTGAGCCACATCCAAATCACTTGCAAAACCCTGCTTTGATGTAGGGGGCATCTTTCTCCTAAAAACTACTTTTTTAATTAATCAAAGGCCAAATCTGAATCAAATGCCAATCTTGTACACAAGTAGACATCACGAAACCAAAGATTTGTCCATGAATGTTATTTTGGGTCAGCCATTCTTTCTTGGTGAGAAGTAACTTGATAAACAGGTAGGTTCATTTCAATTAAATTATTTGGAAAGATTGATCTACACAGTATTTGCCAATGTAACAACACTAACGTGTGTGCACAAGACTGTATACTTGAGTGCATATATATTTATTAATGCTTTTTAGTATCTGAATTTGTATATCTTTCTTTTCTTAAACATACAGGCTGTTCTAGCTAGACACTAACATAACTCTTATTGTGGCTTCTCATCCCAAACAAATTCCTTCTTTTGGTTAATTTCTACTGCTTTTAAAGTGGCATAAGTTAAACAAAAAACATTACACATATGTCCCTTGAAATGCACTATCCACATCATGCTTTTTTCAGTCCCCATAGTCTAAAGTGAGAGCGTAAGAGCAGAGTTGACCCTTAGCACCAAGGGAAAAAGAACAGGTCAGGAGAAGAGTCTCACACTGGTTTAGGAACAAAGATCCATCTTTCTCAGTCCCTCCATTTGACAGTGTCTAATAGCAGTTGCTTAACGCAAGGAAAAACACATATTTCATAACCCTTGTGATCTTTCTTGGAAACTTTTCCAGTCCAACTGTATTTTCTTTGAGAGCAGGTTACCAGAACTGCCCCCAAAATTCAGGATGTAGGTATATCAAGGATAGGTACATTAGTTCAATAATGTTTTCTGTTTTGCTGTCTCTTTTCCTCATTATTCTAGCATAGCTTTTTTTGACTGATGTTGAACACTGAGCTGACTTCTCACATTAATATTTATTATAATCCAGGATTTCAACTTGCAAAACAACAAACAATTCAAAGCCTTCATTGTGTATTTGTAGCTAGAATGTTTTTCACATGCACCCTTAAATTTATACATTAATAACACAATTTTAAAAAGGCAAAGTTGCTGCTAGATAAGTGGTCTTTCTTCTCTGCGCAAAGAATAAATATGAACAAGTGGGGAAGGTAAAGAACAGCAAGGGAATTTAAATGGTATCTATTATCAGTAAATTCCCTCAGTGCTAATTGTTACAGCTAGAAGTTATTTTTGGAGAAAATGCACTTCTCACCTGTGTTTTCAAATGATTACGACAGATAATGGCCACCTAACATTTTAATTCCTTTCTAATTTCAATCAGAAAAAGCACATTTTCTTTTTTTTTTTTACATCCCAAAATTATTCAAATGCTTCAATTAGTGACATTAGAGAGCAACCTTTTAAAAGGCAAAAATATATAATTAACCCATTTTATTCAAACCTTTGAAAACCTTCCCAAGCCTTGCTATGTTCCAAATATTAAAACATCATTTTGTACGCTACATAAAAATGCTTAAGCAGGCAGACACTTCAATGTGCAAGCTTGAGATCTTTACCGTTTCCGCATCCACAAAGACTGTTGGACATTCTGAACACAACATCATCACTTCCAGAGAACTTTTAAATTTTGTTCCAATGCGCTGCAGACTTTCGCCAAGAAAGCTGACTGAATCATTTGTTATAGATACAAACTTCCTTTGAATAGTCTAGAAATCAGATCAGAAAAACATTTATTTTACATTGGAATTTATTACTCAGGCTTTTTAGATTGAGAATTTCAGGGCAAAATTCCATCACGACAGCATATATTTTTGTCATTAAATTACAAGCTAATACATAATTTGCTCTGAATGTTTATGTAAAACTAGCTCCAGAAAATGCAATCAATCAATAAAACCAGCCTGTATCCATGAAGACAGTAACTCCTTTCCCACCTAGGCCTTTAGCATTAGTATAGCTGGATGACTCTTTGACCCTATGCAGTATAGATAGTAGTTCAGTTCATTTTCAAGTGTTCATGTTGCAGAAAATTATTCACAGTTTTACAAGACGTGTGTAGCAGAATCTGTGTCCGAAACTGCCAGCTGCAGGATTCCTACCTTCTTCAAAAGTCAGTCCTACGTGTAACATGTTCGAATATGTGGACTGTCAGCTTGGCCCAATACAACACTGTGCTTTGCTATATATCATTTCATAAATCCTAGAAAGTTACATATAAAATAAAACTATACAAAGATGGATACTTACAGCTGTGAAGTTAAACGTGGCGTAGGAGCCAGAAGGCAAAATGGAAGGTTCAGTCAAACAAGACCTCCAGGGTCTCATTTAATTATTTTAACCCTCCTCTGTACCCAGTAACAACTCCTCAGGAATGCTTCTTTGCCCAGGTTTGAGCCCTGGATCACAACTGCCCCCTTTCTCAAAGCATCCACCTTTGCAGCTGACTGAGGGCTGTCCTGTCAAGCCACGGAAAAGTTTCATCTTTCTTTTTAGCTCCCTCTTTAATGAACACAAGCGAATATGAACTCCTGGCTTTACCACTTTCAGGAAATACCTCTTTTCAGGAAATGCAGTTGCGTAAAAAGCAACTGCAGCTAAACTTTGGTGTAATATAAAGGAAATAAATCCCTGATGTCTCAGATAAAGCAAAAAGGCAAAAATCTAAAATGAGTAAACAGGAATTTTACAGTACTGTGGCAAAAGACGTGGTTCAACTAAAAATGGAAAATGAGTATAGATACATAAAGAAGGTATTCCATGGATAAGGTAGAATATAAAATCTTCACATGTAAGTGACCTCATGGCACTAACCCTTAACCTGCCCACACATATGGGATAAAACGTGTGCTAGTGTGGTAAAACAAAATGAAGCTTTCACTGAGTAATTTCTTACAATATACCCATGTCGTGGTTTAAGCCCAGCCGGCAACTTGGAACCACGCAGCCGCTCACTCACTCCCCCCCTTTTCCTTCCTCCCCCCGCTCCCGGAGGGATGGGGAGGAGAATCGAAGGAATGTAACTCCCACGGGTTGAGATAACAGCACTCCAGTAACTAAGGTATAATACAAACCACTACTGCTACCAATAATAATGATAAGAGGAATAACAAGGGAAAAGGACACAACCGCTCACCACCCGCCGACCGATACCCAGCCCGACCCGAGCAGCGATCTGGGCCTTCCGGGTAACTCCCCCCAGTTTCTATACTGGGCATGACGTGCTGTGGTATGGAATACCCCTTTGGCCAGTTTGGGTCAGGTGTCCTGTCTCTGCTTCCTCCTGGCTTCCCCTCCTCCCTGGCAAAGCATGAGACTGAGAAAGTCCTTGGTCAGAGTAAACATTACTGAGCAACAACTAAAAACATCGGTGTTATCAGCATTGTTCCCAGACTGAAAGTCAAAAACACAGCACTGCCCCAGCTACTAAGAAGGAGAAAAAATGACTGCTGTAGCTGAACCCAGGACAACCCAATAGCAGGTGACATTAATATTGGAGATGTAGGAAATTGTTGGAGTCATAAGGTTTTGATTTGTAATAATGAATCTGCTCTAGCTCATTTGGCATGTTGCCCATAAATAAAAGTACTATTTGTGCTTCTCCTTCCCATAGGACATTGCAAAGAATAATCCAAGTGGTACCAAAGGTAACATACATAAAAAGCTATCCCATACATATAGGGAGGATAATTAAGAAAAATTAAGCCACAGGCATTTTGTGTTGGATATCAGATCTATGTGGTAAATACAGTTAAAAAGAGGCATCTGAAACTTGCAGCTTTAGTGGATCTCCTGGTGTTTCAATTACTTCTCTGCAGTAAAAAACCTTTTCTCACCAGATACAAGATAAATTCATTAATGTTTGCCATGCTGTGATCCCATAATAAGGAATCCCATGGAAAACCCAGGAGGAAGACTGATTAATTCTGTAATCAGCACAGAACCTGGGTGACGTTCTGAAAATAAAGGAAGGGACAGAACCCGAACTAAAAGCTTACAAGAAATACTGAACTGGGGTTATTTTGAGCTGCCTTTTTTATTCCTAAGTAGAATCACTCCTAGACAATGAATAATACAGCAGATATCACACAGAAAAATAGCGTATGACCATGAAAAAGTCTTTTAGCAACATCGTTTTTTTTTGTCTGCTTTTGATTCGCTTTCTACCATAATCTTGCAGCTTTTGCAGTTACAGCAGTGAAGAATAGTTTTAAAAGCAGGAGGAAAAGATTTCAGACAAACCACCATGCAATGGCAATTCACTGACCTGAAACAATCTTGAGAAGACGTGAAATGTATAGACAGCACAAGATCCATCTGTATCTGACAGCATTTGATTGACATGACAGCGCCAGGCTTGCTCTTCATCATCATATGCCACTGGCTGGAAAGCTGCCAATATGGCAGAAAGAAATGGTGAAGGAGGTGGGGAAGTTTGTACTTCTGGGAAACCATCCTGTTCTTCTTCATCTTGGCTATGAATAACAAACAAAAGAAATTTACTCAGTACATTTTTTAGGGAAAAACACCTTCATTTCGGTAAGAAGGAAAAAATAAGAACTTGGAATTCAAACACTGTTTTGTAAAATAAATAATCCACCCACTAAGGTACCAAGAAAAGAGTAAAAAATAAAAAATACTTGCTACTGCAATACAAAAAAATGTTTATACTCTCAAATACCTCCAAGGTTTATTAAAGCATGTTACTTCTATTCATATCTTCAAAGGGATAACTATATATACATATAAACACACACACACCCCCATTCAGAAACTGGTATTTTTTTCTTGCCCCTAATACTGGATTAACATTCAATTCTTCCAAGTCTAAACATATGGTCCACCAATATCCGTAACAAATTCTAGCTTTCCTTACGAGAAACACAAGAACTCACTTGGCAATGTAATACTATTTTGTAACTCATAAGTAACATCATAAGGAAATGAAAATAGATTGGAAGACTTCCATTTTTATAGGCAATCAATTTAACAGGCCTTTGTTCAAAGAGCATTCTGCAGTCATACTTTCCATTAGGCACCAAACATTCCATAAAAATATCAAACTATAAATTAATGCTACTACTTACAATCATTAACTTAATTGTTAAAATTATCTGTATTACAAGGAATGACACATTTTGACACTTCCTGTATAATTATACTTACACAGCAAAAATATGTGGGAGAGAATTCCAAGCACAGATAATTTATTAAAATAATTTTTTAAACACATACCGTTTTTCTCATTCAACGACCTTATTCACAGAGGCACCAAGTATGTATTAAGACTTAAACACATCTTAACCAAGAAGTGTGGGTGCTGTTTTTAGGCACATTCATTTTAACAGCAGCAAGCACAACATCTAAGATGCAAACCTTCTGAATACTACCTGTAAGCAAAGCTTCAAAAAGATTTTCAGGTATTTTCTAACTAGTGTATCAACCCTATAAACAATCACCTCTGTTGCTCTTCAAACTAGAGCTGTGTAGTTTTTAATTTGTTCACTTAGTGCAAATAAACTAAAACCCCATCCCTGGCAGTGTTCAAGGCCAGGCTGGCTTTGAGCAACCTGGTCTAGTGGAAGGTGTCCCTGCCCATGGCAGTGGGTTTGGAACTGGATGATCTTTAAGGTTCCTTCCAATACTAATGATTCCATGAGTCTATGATTCAGTTACACATTAGGAACATTATGTTCCTATAGACAGCAGGTGTATATATTATTCAGTCTAAACTTCTGAACAAATTTTAAGCATGAAGAAGCCTATGAACCATTTGGAATTTGGTTTAGTTTTTGCATTTGTTGGTTTGGGGGTTCTGTTTGTTTTTTTATTTGTTTGTTTGCAGTTTTTTGTTTGTTTTCCCTCCTTCTTAGACCATTACTTTCAAGAGACTTAGGGTTTCATTTTAAACATGACTCAATCAGCTAGGATTAATTCTAACATTTCCTCTCAATAGTTACTTTTGTTCTCCATATGAAAAAATGGAAAAATGTTACGTTACTTTAAAATGTCTTAGAAACATACAAGAGACTGATTAACCTTAACACTGAAAATAAACCTTGGGCAAATTCAAAGATGAACTGGTATGACTCCTGCAGGAGCTTTGATTAAAACAAAACAAAACCCCACAAATACCCCCCAAAACAGAACAGAAACAAAACAAACAAAAACAAACAAACAAAAACAACAAAACATCACAAAAAACCCCAACCAACCAACAACAACAAAAAAAAACAACCCCAACCCAAACCCCCCTCCAACCAAACCCATTTTTTTCCCCTATCTTTGGGTGTCAAAATAGGTTCTGCCATAATTCAGAGTAGTTCAAGGCCTTTTGCATGTCATACTGCTTGCAGCTGGTGACTGCCAAGAAAAGGCTTTATAATATCCTCTGATCTCTTTTCTATTTTTATCCTATTGATGGTGATGAAATGTGCTAGATTTTTTTTACTCCATAAGTCTCTTCTTTTCCTGCATGGCTGTTTTCCCTCTACCAGAAACAACTGCTAACCAAAGCACTGAATTTATTTGCCTTAACAAGTAAAAACAATCAACCATTACTTCTGATATGCAAAATACCATTTTAGATGCTTGCATTATGGGATTCATGGAAAACCCCCGACCATAAGAAAGCCTACTTTGTTTGACTCATGCACTGTTAACATGTAATTTGTTTCTTAGAAACAGTATTAACTTTACCTAGACAAACCAGAGAAGTCAGCTTCTTCTTCTTCACATCTCTCATCTAGCTCTTTCAAAGCAAGAGTAACATCCTCTTCACAGACAGATTCAGAATAGCTCTCAGGAGCTGTTGCCTCTGCCAATTCTGTGGTCTCTTCCAACTCAAGAGATTCATGACAGACCAGACAGTCTTGTTGTTCTTGTAGTAGATACGACCCAGTGTCTTCACTAGCAGTGCTAACCTGTTCATCCCTTACTGCTGAACTGCATTCCTGTGAATCAGACATACTTTTATTTACTTTTATTGTCGGGGCTTACCTATTCTTATCAGTTTTTATGATGGTAAAGTAACAGTTATAAAAATTGTTTACAAATATCCATTTATATTTAATCATTCAGCTCTTTGGCTTGTTCACACAGTTTTACTGGAGTCGAGACAGGCAGTCTTCTACTTAACACTAATATTCTAGAATATGACTTCTTATTTATAGCAAATACAATTTCTCAAATATACTCACTTAAATCTGTTAAGAGAACACTCCCAGAAAAATACCTGCAAATAGCCTCAAACATAATTAGATCACAACAAATACAACTAAGACTTTCATATTTTACTTTTCCAGGTAAGGACCAAACTGTCTGCCTCATGCTTGCCTTTGTGGTCCAGAACCAGTACAGAAAATTTCTTCTCCTTTCCTCTCTCCACTTTAACAATGTTCTAGAGTATAACTGAGCAACAGTGTAACAGACAACCAATGGAAAAAGGACATTCCATGATTTTTATTATTTTGCAATTACTGTTAATAATAGGGGAAGCTTTAAGGGTTTAACCCTGAATCTCTAAATCTAGGCTTTCCATCACTAACAGTTATAAAGAGACAATGATTAAACTCAGGTAGGTAACATTAGAATGACCCTTTCTCCCTTCCCTCTTCCTCCATTAGCATTATTATACTTATTAACATTGCTATATCGAATAGAGGAATTCAGATTTAGATAATTTATGATAAAACTCATTTGAAACCTTTTACTGGATTTTTCTGTAGAATAAGAATAGTATTTTCTTGTACTTGCTATTTCCTAAAGGCACAAATTATCACACATTTTCATTCTTAAGTGTGCTTGTCTTCCTCTACTGGCATATTCAAGACTGATTAACAAACATTTGGACAGCCTTTAAGCATACATATCACTTCCTGGCTTTCATCAGTCTAAATAGATCCTCTGACAGGTAAGTAACTGTACACATACTGGAAAAGACAATTCAGCTTTAAAGAGAATTATATAATTTTCTATCACAGTGATCTGAACCGTATCTCTCTTTGACTATGGTAATCTTCAATGTGACGCTGCTGTCATTTGACACAGCTAGTGACCTCGCTTATAATGCCTGGAAGTTAAATCTGGAATTTTATTGCACAGAACAGCATTTTTGTCACACTGAGCAGCTAAGGCACACAGGAATACAAGACACTTTTACACAGCAGCAAAATAATACAGGTGGAAGGAGTGGTCCATTTCTATTATAGATGTTAACAGATGATACAGTTGCACTGATCATGTCTGACAGGTATGTACATATGAGAGATATGCTTCTAGAAAATATTTAAGTTCTAATTACTAGCTAGTAAATTTACAGTTGAGTTAGTCTTCATAGTGCCATGACTCCTGATTTCTGAGGTTTGATGTGTAACTTTGGGCGTATCTTTACTACCAACATGAATGTTCTTTAAAGATCTTAAAAACGTCATTTATATTATATAGTTGTCAATTCCACAGAATCCCAGGAAAATTACTTCTAGTAAATTATTCCCTCATAAAACCACAGTGCAAATTAGTAAATTAGAGAATCATTTTAGTAATAAACTTCCATACACTTAAGCTTGTAAAACTTTTTGTACAAAATTGAAAATATTCTTGTAAGCTACACTGTATATTTCCAGCTGGAATGTGAAATGTCCTTTTTGTAAAAATACATGCTATTGCTAGGAATCAGTCAAATACAAGTAAGTAACCTATCTACTTGTTATATCTTCGGTATGCCCACAAGAGAAGCAAGGAACCCAACTTGATTCTATGAACTGCATCTAACTAGCGCACACACACACACACATTTTTAAATAATGGCACTTTTTTTTATATCACCTTGGATAAATTTTGATATTGATTTATATTAAAAACATTTTGATAGTTGATGCATGGCATGTAATGAAATGTCTGTGTTGAAAGAGTTTATGTATATGACCATAGAAAAAAAACCCCAAAACTGCACTATGCTGTGAGTTGTGCAGTATAAGAATTCAGAACAAAATAAGGTTTTCTGTCCTCAAAATTTTTCCAAAGTGAGTTGACAGTGTGCATATTCTCAAGCTCATTCTATTAAGAGGCATAAAGCCCTTTTAGCAACAAAATCCAACTTGACTGCTAACTCTTGTAGAGGTAAGTTTTGAGTGTTTGAACTCTGCTTGAAGATAACATATTTGACTGAATCCCACATTCTAACATGCACAAAATAAACTCTGAACGCATCACATGTAGTGATTGCATTTACATGCACCTGCAGCCTTTTTTTTTTTTTTTTAAATATGTATATCGATTTTTTTCTGGATGCTGCTTAGGCATGAAATTATTTTACAGCCCAGTTTAAATGTTTTCAATATTTTTAACGATGTTGCTGCTTTTATTGAGTGAATGTTTTCATCTGGGTTATCAGAAGTATAGTGATTTTATGAAGGGGGCTGCAGAAGAACAGCGAATCCAAGTATAAAGGCAGTCTCAGACAGAACTACGAAAATGTAAAAATGAGTTACAGCTGAGAATGTACCACAAGCAAACGAGACAAATTACATAATTTCATTCTATGTAATCCTAGCTTATATATCATCTCTCCCTTTTATCCTAGCTTATTTATTGCTTCTCTCGTTTGAAATCTCGACATAAAAAAAAATAAAATATTCCAGACTAAGTGTTCTTCCTCACCCAAAATTCTATTAGAACAGAAATGCATGTTGTAGACAAGTAGACGAAGCGCTAAGACTGATTTGTTTGCCAATCTAACCACAGATGCCCTCAAATTTGAGACAATTTATCAATTGCAATGTAACCAAACATTTTAGAAGAAAGCATACAGATAATATTAATGCAAAAATATGCAAGAAGTGGAAAAAAGATGCTTTATAAGTGTCACAGTATTACAGTTCTAGAAGATGAGGATTTTATCACAAGAAACCACCCATACTTTCCCTTTGTTGTTCTCCAAGTATGTCTTTTGTTCTTACAGTTATCTTCATTAAATGTTAGCTAGGTGAGTGGCATCCCTGTTAATAAAAGTGACTTTCTAGGTAGCAAACAGGTAGACTAGAACCTTTGTTTAGAAACCCCAGTCACTTGAATCAATCAGTTGACTGTTTAAACCAAGCTGGCTGAAGACTCATTCTTAAGTGTAAACCATGCACAGGTTATTCAAATACACAGAGAAATAGCCCAATATTCTGAGAAACTCAATATAAATATATGTTCTGTCACAGGTGGGATTAGTAAAATAAAAGTAAGATTGCCAGTAGCATCAGTAATTTTATAGATAAAATGTCTACCTAAACCAAGCTGCTTCAAGAAAAAACACTGACGTTTTAGCTACAACTGCTAAATACTGTAGGAATTGTAGCAGATCAAAGCCTTATTTAAATTTTTTTTTTTTTTAATTTATTCAAAATATTTTAAAAACCAAGAAACTTGAGTACTCACAGATTTGCAGGCAGCCATTAGCTTGAAATCTGTCTCAGTCCACACAGGCCTTTCCAAAAAAGTATACCACTAGCATCTGTGGTCCTTTTTAAAGCATTATTAAATGGAACCAACTGCTAACACAGCTGGCCTGAGGTTTTACTCCCATATAGCACCAATCACATTAACCCACAGAAAGCAGAAAAAAAAGGGGGAAATAAAGTATTTGAAAGAAAATGTTGCTCAAGAAGGATTTCAACCATATGAAGTAAAAGCATCTTGAACATCAGCCTGTTCTCATTCTGCACCATGAAATGATCATTATCAGCCCTTCAAGAATATTTTTAACCTGTGGTAAGTTCCCTCAGTCCATCCCAAGCAGTCTTCATGCTGAGGAAACATCTTGTAAGAACATTCCAACAGGTTAGAAATATTACAAGCAAATCAACTAATCAGTGTAACAGATGAAAATTCAATTGAAAAGAAAGCCAAAGTTGCTATTAAACACTAGAAGAAGCCCAAATCAGCCATGCGCCAGCCCATATTTCTCCCCACCTCAGGCAGCTGGTTGCTAGAGTTATCTAGAGGAGAAGCCTCCAAACTTGGCGTCTCAGTTCTTATTTGAAGCACATCTTCCGTTCCCACACTGCTAGTGGAATCCTGAGACTGAAGTGATAAACCAGCATGGTCTGATATTGTTTCATCTATGGCAGAATCGCTGTTTAACTAAGATAGAAAAGAAAGAAACATAAAATTATTCATAGTTTACTGAACATACAAATTACAGGGAAAACACATTACTTTTGAAATAGGCTGTTTCAGTATGGTTAGCTATCTGAATTTGTTTACATATGATGAGTTTAACACCTTTACACTAAATTCTTAGAAGCATCCCATCTACTTTGGTAACATTTAATTTCAAAAAGTTAATGTGTGAAGTTACCCTTAGAATCTAGAAAATTAGTTCCTTTCTAGTTTATAGGTGTTTGGCAGTGGTGAAATGCTGGACTGAAAACACTGAAGCGCAGAGCTCTTTGATATGGGCAACGTTAGTACAAACTTAGCCTGAAGTCTGAAGAGTGGCATACTATCCCTGCTGCTCCACATCCAGTCAATTTTTTCCTAATTTCATTTATGCAATGGCAAGAGACTTTTGAGGGGCCAGTGTTCTCCATTTCCCTTGTTACATGTACACATATGCTTCAAAATCCATAATTAAATTAGCAATTTCAGTGGTTAAACACAACTGAGGCTCCCACAGGATCACTTACTGCTCTTGTTCTTATTTAGTAATTTGGGATTTTTTTAGGAATCCACAAAGACACAAACTTTATATGAAACACTGCATGTAACACATGCAATCTTGCACTTATACTGAAACAAATATAGTAAGTATAAAGACACACACACAGAAAAAATTAAAGCTGTACTTCAACTATAAACCTGTTATGTACCACTAATGTGGTAAAGGGACTCTTTCACTTCTTTGATGTTGGCAAGCAAAGTTTAGCCACATCAATTTAGTTCCCCTTTAATTCACTTAGGCTGAAGGTGTGAGTCACACTTATTCATAAAATGCGCAAGTGAAAGCTGAAGTTCTAAGATTCCTTTCACAGAAAAATAACTTACCATCTGTGAACGAGACAGTATCTGACTTGCAGTCAGGGCTGCTTCCTCTTCTGAAGACTCGTCAGTATCTTCCTGGTTGGTCAAGTTCAAGCTGGGTGTGCTACCAGAGTACTGACATTCTTGAAGAGATGGTGTGTCTCCTTTGTCAATACTGTCGAGAGAGCGCCTGCGAACACCCCAGTTGAAGTTGTCCATGCTCTCACCCTGTAATAAAAAAAGTTTTCACCCATATGTCTGTACAAATTTCAATGTAATAAAATTAATACACAAACGCAACCAAGACAACACAAGTACTGAATGCATTATGAACAGAGTTTCAATCAGCCCTTTAGTTTTATTTAAATACCTTGTTAAATGACGTTCGTAGATAAAATATATGGCAAATGAACTAGAAGTCTTTTCAGTATCTTCTTGGAAAGTAACCCAATATATAATCTAGAACTATATTAGTATCAAATTTATATATCTGACTAGAAAGTACAAACACACCACAGACAACAACAGAAGAACAAGCCAGGGCACCAGGCTGCAACTTACCTGCAGCTCCTGGTTAGCAAAAAGGAAAACACATATAATTAGAAAGAACGAGGACAAACACTTAAAGATACTCTAGAACCAGGGAAAAATGTTTTATTACATAAGATTTGCCAACAGTAAAAGACTGATTCAAGCTCTGAAAAAAAGCTTTGATCAAAAAGCTAGTATTTAAAATAATTTCTCTTTCTAATGGGAGATTGACTGAAAAAATAAACAAACTGACGACAAAACATTAAAACCAGCATGCTTATGATACATTTCTCTAGCATAACATGTAAAGCAACTGTTTCAACAAACATTAGATGAAATTCATTAACTAACACACATGAATCTAAACTGACCACATCCAATTGACAAAGCACCATCAACATTAATTATATACAGGTTGTAGAAAAACCCATGTCTTCATTAACTGTTTCACCAGCTACCTTGTGTCAGTTTTATGAAATACACACTAAACACCAAAAGCTTGATCTTTTCTGTTTGCACAGTTTAAAGCTGGGATACTTGGGTTTCAAACATCCAACACAGTAAGTGAAATCCATATATTAAAACCACTATTGTTTTAATTCACAAGAACAAACTGTCTTTGACTTTCTCATGCACTTTATCAACCTTCAACAATTAATCTACAGATGGAAAACCTGATAAGGTCACTTTGCCGGTCTAGAGACAGTTACTAAAATACCATATCTAGCCCCAAATGTTCAAGTATGGGTTCCAAAACTGCTCTGACAGAATACCACTTGTGGTGACTTAAGAGATCATTAGGATGTGTTAAATATGCAAAGCAAACTTAACATTTTGTAGCCTCTTTCTCTCTTAGTGATTCGTTTTGCTCCAAAAAAAAGGTAAAAAGTTACAGCAACACAAAAGAACCCCAACTACAATAAAGTACTACTACTGTGGCCTGAAGCACTTATGTTTAAGCTGAATATTACTCACATTTTAATGTAAAAGCCCCAGTACATATTGTTGACATTTAGTTCTTAGCAACAAAGAACAATCTGCATTTCTGCAGTAAAACTAGGCAGCTCTTAGATAAAGTGCACAATTTATATGTAATGCCCTAAATTTGAACAATCTGTGCTCTTTCTTTTTCCTTTTTTTTTTCACCCCCAACTATAGCACTACATGTTGCATACAGGCAAGTAATGAGAAAGAAAATGTCTCTTCTTCATCATGATCTGCTAGTAAAATAATACAGAAAATGAAGTTAAAGATTAACTTGGTTTGGCAATGTTTTTGACTTTTGGCATCCTACCTGCAAAGCCCCATCTAGTGTTAAAATAATGCTATACTACTACTGAGCTGATTCTGAACTGCCAAAGAGTACTTCCATTGATTATACAAAATTGTATCTGTATAGTGCGTAAGTCACATATATGCAAAAGACTATAACAAGCCTATACTTTTCCTAGAAGATACAAGTATTGGCTGAAGTGAAGCAATACACAGGAAGGAAAGTGAGATAAAACTTAAGCATTAGGGGGGAAAAAAGCAAGATTTTATAAGAAGGGATAGATTAATGAGAAGAACAATCTTAGAGTTTAGATAGGCAGATATTCTTAGCAGCTTGTTGACTCATAACCTGCAAGGGTCTCCATTACTAATGCAGTTATTTTGTATAGACTGTAATAAAAACACTGAAAGAAATCTCAAAGTACTTGATTTCTTCTCCCCAGTCCTTTTACAGTCAGCTTCAGCAAATTCTGGTCTGAAGCCTTTTATTTATCCGAAGCAAGTAAGAATTGTTAACAGAATCTTTACTATTTCTCAATATTTACTTTTGTTTTACTTCTCCTCCCTCTTTTTTTGAGAGGAGAAATGGAGGAAATGTAAGAACTGCGACAAGCCAGATATAATGTAAAAGTCAATGCAAGCAATTATGGTGACCGAGTCAATCATATAATGAAATAGTGTATCATACAGTTTGTAACTTCAAAAGCTATTCTTCATGTTTTCAAAATGCAGAAACACATGAGGAACAAAGATAATGCAATTTTCTTAACATACTGTTCCATGATTAAATTTTCAGCTGTGTGATACCCAGGTGTTCCTCCTGTCATTGGTTTATACTATCTTACCACTTCACTTTCAGATTAAGTCACTTAACTCCTCCTAAAAAATTCCAACTCTCCCCCTCAAAAAGACCCAACAACTTGCAACAACTTAACACTGCAAAGTTTGTGACACAGGTTTCTTTATCATTCAAGTTGAGTTCAATCACATCATAAATTCTTTCCAACTGGATTAGTTAGAAAAGCTGCCAATTCCTTAGCATTGCACCAACATAACCTTATTTTTAAAATGTTCTCAAATGGAAATACACAGAAGAAATCCCAAGGTCTCACCTCTGCATCTTCCAATTCAACATCTAAAAAGTCAAAGTCTTTAAAAACTCCAAATTGTTGTTCACTGGTATTGTCTTCTACAGCCACTTCCTCCTCTTGAATCACTTCTTCTGTTGTTGAAATAAGACTAGTTTGTTGATCTCCAACTTCCAAGTCCTCATTAGAAGAAAACACAACCTGCAGATGTGGGTAGAAATAGAAATAAAAACTAGGCTACTCAACTTTATTTTAAAAAGCTCTTACGTCATCACCGCTGTTAAGGTTAGTATACCAGTGGGGGTCTTCTCTGTGCCATATGCAGAAGTAACACCATCAGCCTAGTTTATTTAATAGTTAAGACTACTGCTCCTACTGATGCCGATGTTAGTTTGAATGCATGTTATCCACTGGTTATTTTCAATGGATTCTATGGTATTTTCAATACAGCATCAACCTCCTTGCAGTCCTCACCAATTGCTGCCCCCTCTCTCTAAAGTGCATCTTATTTGTAATGGGCTAAATAAAGATTTACTTAGAACAGGGGAGACCTAGTTCATTTCTCTCTTCTAGCCAAGACAATTAAAATTCATATATGCAGCCTCAAACACACTGTTCTGGAGCAGCAGTGTAGTCTTGCTCTTCTGTGAAAAAGTATTAAGGATTAGTCTGATCAACTGAGTTCCTTAATAGTCAATTAATCTAATTTGGAGAGGAAAGATCTGAGCTTCAGTCCAAAGACTTTTAAAAAACCTTCTTTTGATAACCACGTAAGATAAAAATTAAGAATAAATCCTAGTAGTTACTTTGTCTTAAAACATACAGACCTCGCCTATGGTCCATTCACTGAGACAGCAACGTTAGTTTTGGCTGAACTTAAATAGTGTTTTGAAACATATCTAATAAAGGGCGGTGCCCACTGGACTTCTTGAGGAAAAATTCATTACTTATGATTCCATCTCCTTCTAATTCTTCAAATTGGATTTGTGAATTGTTGAGCCAAAACCAATTTGTCAAAAACTGCTCTTCATAACTTCACCAATACCTGAAAACACAACAGCATTCTCACTACTGGAATTTAAAAACCAGAACAAACCACCATCATCACTTACTGAAGGATTCTTGGGAAGACCAGATTCTGGACCACACAGAGAAAGCACATTCATTAGCTTCTCCCTAGTTCTTCTCTGAAAAATATACGAAAGAAAATCACATAGCAAGGCATCTGCTGGACGTTAAAATGTAGAACATCTGCATTTTAACTAGTCATCTCACATGCTGACATCCACTAAAAATAATCCGACTATTTTTTCTTTTCACCAGTATTAGCTTTTAGTTTATGCTATATTCATTTACTGTTTTGCTATGACACAATATAGACTTCAAATTAGACTTCAACAATTTTTTTATACATTCATAAACATTGTTGGTAGTGTATGTATAGTGTGTTGAAGACAATGTACCTGAGATAGCTGTGGTCTCTTCCAGCTGACAGGAACTAATGCATTTGAATTGGAGCCTGATGAAGTTGAAGAAGTGCTGCGGGTGACAGCAATGACTTTTGGCTTCCCATTTCTACCAGCTGCACTGTGTTGATCACCATACTTATTCCCAATAATTGGTGTCTATATCAAAGATGACAAATTCTTTCTCAAAATGCAAATCTGTATCAGTAAAGACTGCACATTTGATCTCAGAATTTAGTATTACATAAAACGTAGGATGGCTTGTCTGTTTCTTTTTAAGCATTCTATGAAACCTCTGCCTAATCCACCGAGCACTGGTACGCTGGGAAATACAAAGCTGAGTAAGTCTACCCTGTGCAGTAGGCTGCCATTCTGTCCACTTGTGGTTTTTTGAATTATGCAAATTTTATGCTGACAATCCAGTTATAGTTTTTTAAACACACTATGAAAAACTAGTTTTCACAGGCAAGCAACTAACACATACTCTTTTGAGAACCAAGCAGCAAATTCAGCCCCTATGACAGCAAATGCTACTCCAGTGAACTCTGCGGGAATTCATCTTGTCCCTCAATTATACGCATGCAATGAAACTTCCAGTAAGGAATTCACTTACCAACTTAAGTAATGCTCTTAAGACACCTGTAACTCCAGTCATTATCTAGGGTCAGCTTCAACCAGGACCCCTTACTTCTGATTAACAGTACTACAATTCTGACATCCTTATATTACACTGCAGTCATTCGGCTACACTCCCATTTTCAGACATAGAATTAGTATCAGCTGTATCATCTTCAGTTCTAATGAACCCGAACTGGGGGGTAGGGGTGTTCTTTTTCAACTACAGGATTTTCTCCAGTGCCATTCATCTTACACTGAGGTTCCTATATTCTGTATCCTACTCTCTCCTCTAAACTTTCTCCCCCTCACACCAGAACCGCAGTACAGGGTTTTAATCCTCTCAGCCCTTGAACACACAACCCTTCATTTGATGAAAGCCTGGAATGTTCAGCTGCAAGCAGCAGCCAGCTGCATTAGCTTGCTCTATGACACAGCTGAAATATCCTTGAGAATAATCCCACTGACTTTTAGTAATTAACTCTTCAGAAGTTCGAAGAGGGGAAAAAGGCAAAAACACAACAAAAGTATTCAAAGATTATCTTTCAGTATGACTCTTAATTACATGTATGTGAAACTTCAATGTCTGCCATTCTTAACAATTATATGTATTTTAAAATATACAAATGTAGAAGGCTAAAAGAACAAATCTGAGTTTGCAAGAGAAAGACATTATTGCAATGGAATTTAAATATAGTAATTACCTCTGATATATCAAAATGAAAATCTAAGGTCTTCCCAGGAAGCTCCTTGGAGACATTAAAAATCTTCGTGAAAGATATTTCAGGAGAACCTATGTCACCTCCATAAGACTTTGGGATATCATTAGGTACAACAAGGCTTGCTGACCGAGACACCACCAATTTCAAAATATTAAGAGCTTCCTTCCAATATGGACTCTAAAGAGAATATACACGAATCACAAAACAATCACTTTAGACAAGACAGCCATTTTTAACGTATGGTAGGATTTTACACTGATTCATCACAAGATTCCCAAAACCAAAAGCTCTAATCTTCTACATGTGGCTGCAAGGTGCTAGCACAGGTGGGCAGCTTTGGACCTTGAAGTGCCAAGGAAGGCAGCAGCAAGGTACCATGTCACTCCATGGTGGGTGGTCAGGTGAGGCCAGGCAGCCACTAGCTCCAGGTCCCCGTGCCAGTCACACCAGACTCTATGTCCCTGGCTCCCTGCATTTACACTATGCTTATTACCATTGCCTGAAGTATCTGCCTTTCATGCCCCAGAAGATAAAAACTAACATCATTTAAAAGCAAAACCACCTCCACCTCCCAGCATCTTTAATTATTTTACACTTATGGGCAGAGTAAACTGAATTTGAAACAGTCAAAAATATTTTGTGCTTTATATTTCCTTATGTATTTCAAAAAGCTTAAAAAAACCAAACCAAACCAAACCAAACCAAAAAAAAAAAAAAAAAAAAGGCAAAAACATTTACAAGGTTTTTATGTCGTATCAAACTAGTCAGTGCTTAAAACAGCCAGGGCACAAGTATGAGAACATAAGAGGCAGAGCCCGATTTGAGTGCACTCTCCTTGAAAAAAATGGTTAATAGTAATGTAAATAATTCAGCAGTTTCAACTACAGAAATTGTGGAGGAAATCACAGAAGAGACTTACATCAAAAGCAGCAGCTTGGGAGGGTTAAGATTTACACTCCTGAAAATGTTACATTCTACCTGAAACTTAAATCTTCCAGTTTTTGAAATTAGCAGGATACCTGCCTGTTTGTTTTTTTTTTTTTAATTAGAATATCATGTTTGTTAAACACCACTTTCAAGGGTCTAAGAAGTATATGCTTCTCTGTAGGTAATAAGTCTTCAATAATCTCCTGAGTTTCTGTGCACCATAAATATAAGAAAGAAGTCTCAAACCTGAACCATCCTGTAGCAACTTAAATTAATTTAAGATGCACTGTGACTGCAAAAGACTAAAAACGTCAGGCTAGTAGCACCAAATTTAAGTATGTTCATTTATGATCTTTTTTTGTCATTTATAGGAAGATGTTTTATCATACCAAAAATACATAGGCTTCTCTGGAATATTTTTTTCACTAGTACCATTATTTTAATAGCCAACATCTAATTAAGATGAGATTCCATGGTAGTGTGGGCTTGCATCGAAAGCTCAAATAAAGGTTAGATGTGAAGCAAGCAGCTCTCAGGCCATGAAAACTATAGTTAATGCTAATCATTCCATTTTGCCTAATGCACTCTGACAGGAGCACAATATCGAAAGTACATATCCATCAATAACAAAACATCCAGGGAACACTACTCTTCCTGGTTAATTATGATTGAACCACTTGACTGAAATACATTTGGCAATAATGGAATTCAGGAAAAAGGGGGGGCGAAGGGAAGAAATAAAAAGAATGTTGTGCACTGAAATGGTTTTACGCTGCAGGCATTTTCATAAAATCTTACAGCAAGATGCTAGACTTTCTTCTGTGAAATAGATTTTCAGTAAATTGTGTTCCAAGTACAACAGATCAAACTACCCACGGCAAAACACTGTTGTTCATCTTTTGGGGACTTCAATAAAAAAAGCACTCAAATTCACTAAGGTGCACCTTAATGTTCCTCACAGATATACCGGTGAAAGTGATTTAAATATGTATTTAACTGTAAAACTTCATTTTGAAAACATCTACATTTAAAGAAAACATTTGCGCAGTATTTGGCAGTAAAGCTTTCCTTGCATTTTAATAGTTGAAGGATCATGTCCTCTAACTACATATGTGGCAGTTGCCTGTATCTGCAAATAGATGCACATTCACCCATGTACACTTGTCCCACAAGACGTATCTCAAATTGGACAAATACATGAATTAAGTACATAGGATAAAAAAAAAATACTATGAAATCTGACCTTAAACAGCCATTTTTATGCCTGAAATAAATTAATCCCCACAAAAATTCAAGTGTAATTTCACCGCCACCTTTGATAATAAGAGAAAGGCTTTTACAGTTTTTCACAGTACCTACCTGAACATATTTACCAATAACTTTTATGATTTCCAAATTAAACTGCTTCACTGGTGCTGTGGATAGGTCAATATGACTCAGAAGACTGTAAATGATCTGCAGTAAGGACTGTTGCATACTGGATAACCCTTTCTCTAATAGCTAAAAAAAAAAAAAAAATTTAAAATACAGAATTTAATTAGGGCCTTCCATGGTAGCAGGAAGTGAAAACAAACACTACAATATAGCCAACTTCCACATATATTTATTTCCCCCTTTAAGAAACCCAAGTGTACCACTTCATGTTTTTCAGAACTTTGTTTTAGCATTAAAAATCAGAACAATACTCTCTGTCCTAATTCAGTTCTTCCTCCCCTGAACTTTGACTATTGGTTAGCACAGATCTAAAGCACCTCATAATGAAACACTTCTCGCTGTTCTGTTTAGAAGCGTTCATACAAATTCAAAATCTCAAAGCTGAGTGAAAGACAATTACATCTTTGCATTAAAGAAGGCTGGTACACACAATCTTACAAACAAAATAAGGGCATATAAAGTCATCCATGAGAATGTACAAATATTTCAAAAAATACCTTCATCAGTTTGAAGTTACATACTTCAAAGACAAATCTACAAGCTTTTCACACAAGGTACTTTTTTAAAGATAGTAACTGTTTTGCTGTATGAATTGTTGGCAGACTAATGTACTGAATTCTACAATTGAAATTAGCTTTGATTATATACAATGCAATACTTAAAAAAAATGATTTGTAAGTTTAAATTATGACAAGGTCATCTTTAAATGTGTACTTGTCTAAAAAAGGGTCTCTTAAAATTTGTGCCGAGTATATTACACTGAAGCCAAGACAGTGTCCACATTTTATTCACATAGCACAGAATATAAATAGCGACTACAAAACACCAGTATCATGAAAAGGGATCTTTCATTAGAGGGATTATAATTTCTAGGTATATTTAAATTTTTGCACTCCAAAACGGCAGTGATCATCCTTTTACTGTATCCTAGAATATTTTCATATTATTCTTTCACCATGGAAGGTGGGCTTTTTTCCCCACCAATATTCAGGACCATGATAAATAAGGAACTGGTAATGAGCAAATGCAAGTGTAGATCACAGACTGTTAACATGAGATACTCATTATTAAAAACTTACCTCTGCAAGATAAGTTACGAGGTTAAATGTGGCATCTGAGAAAGAGTCATGCAAATATCTACATACTACATTAATCCAGTTAGAACAGTCTCTGGAATAACTGTGTGTGCTGTATAAACTCATCATATGAGCCAGATTGGCAAGAGTGGGTGATTTCTCCTCTGCACAAACCTGAAAAGCAAAAAGCATATTTAATTATATTACAAATGGCAATTGTTTAACCTAAGCATTCACAAGTCACTCTGCACTTTTCCCAGATTGCACTCTGTTTTTCTAATAATGGAAATTGAACTAATCACATAAGCAACACCTACAGTTTCTGTTAAATTTTGATATTGTGGAGTCCATGCTCCAAGTTTATCTACCACTCAACTAGTGTCCCTAGCTAGCAGTACAAGTATTTAAGGGACAGCAAGAATTTCTGGATTGAGATCAGTCATGTAGTCCTTTGACGCAGCTTGTGCACAGGTAAGTCATTTATGTACCACAGTTTGGGCAGCAAGAAGGCTACAACTGCACCTCCTATGATAGACAACACTTACTCCCCCTTTCCACAGTCTTCCTTACAATACGACCTGTCAGGCCAGCATACCACCAACCTGGCTGGAGATTGTTGGTGTGTATCACGTACAGCTTTAACAGACACTAAAGAACATACTATCTTTTCTTCTCCAGTCCAAAAGGTAAGAATCAGTTCCTTCTCATTAGTAAATTAGGAAGATTGCTTAAAAACTGATTTACATTTAAAATTACAAGCTGAAAAAATTAGACAAGGTACGAAAAAGTAACTGATATCATTAATAAGGAAATTTGTACTTTACATCCCAATTTTATCAAATAAGCTAAATATGCTTTTTCATTGACAAAGAGAAACCCAACGGTTGGTATGAGGTCCAACTATGTAAATTAGGACTGGATCCCATCTTTAACATATGACTTTTTACAGTTATTTCTGTATTACTATTAGAATAAGGCACAATTATAAAAGAGTAGAAAAATACAGAAACAATGCCGATATAAAGTCCTGTATACTTCTCTAAGCATCATTTTACATACCTTTGCTATCCTGTCAGCTGTTTCTTTACAAAACTGAGTTGGGTTATCAAAATGTTGGATCAGATGAGGAAGTAGGCACAAGATGTTTAGGGGAAATCCTAAACACATACATAAACACAGTTACATAAGCCCCAAAGATTTTTAATATGACTTAATTTAACGTGGAGTTACCTGGTATTTAAGAACCCTTATAGCATGACACATACATTCACACAGATACATAAACACACATTCATGTACCTAAGTGCATATGTATGTAGAATGTACATAAATGTGTCTGTGTTAGGCATAAATATGCATAAGATGAAAACAAAATCATCATCAGACCAATCAAGTGAAACTATCAGGAAACTGGATAGCTTTAGGCAGTACGGTCACATTGTTTCTAGAAGTCTGAAATAGTATTAATTGAGCTAGTTAGCACAAAATCATGAAAAATAATACATGTGCTCCTAAAACTCACTTGTAAGCAAGTTTAAAGTTAATAGTCAATACATGCAGTATTTCTTGGCAGGTAATTATAGTCTGCAATGTATTCCTGCTATCTAGCACTGTAATAGTGATAACTGCAAAAAGCATTTAACTGAGGGGATTTTTTTTTTTAAGGCAAATGCATAATTACTACTGATTTTGATGAAAAAACAAATTTTCATTACACATACACCTACTAAAGATACCTGCTAACTGAGACGGATCCACCAGAGCATGCCTGGAAATTGTGATGAGTTTACTGAGGAGATGAACTGTCATTTCTTGCGTAGATGCCGAAGTAAAGCCTTTTAGGAAAAGCTGCTGAAGGCCTGGAAAGTTATTCCATTTCAGTTTACTCTGCACCTTTTCTATCTTTTCCCGACTCTCTGATTTATCCAGAGGCAAGTGAATAAGAAGCTTGTTGAGCAGCTTGAGAGCCAAAAGGTATTCATACTCATAATCTGACTCCAGCAACGAAGCTGCAATCCAAAATATGGTGGCCATCAAGTTGACAGGGTCAGTAGTGGGCTGCACATCATACATCCCTCCCTCTCTCAGGGAGGAAAGGCTTCTAGTCCTGGCCAAACTTCCACCATGATTTATCCTTCCATCCATTATATCCAGTGTGTTGCTCCGCCGACGGTCGCCTCTCCGCTCACTGATTAAATTCAGTCTTAAAGAATTACTCCTTGTATTGCTGTAGTATCCCAAACAATTGCCACTATTAATGGGACTTGTGCTTAGGTTTATCTGTCCAGTGCTTTTCCTATTAGCTGCATACTTGTTCCCCATTACAGAATCATGGTATGAGGTTCTAGAATAAAAATCAGTATCATGTATTATTCCATGCAAAATACTTTAACAACATACAGTTTAGAAAGAGGGAAGAAAGGAGAAAGATGCTACCCTAATTGCACATTTACACATACAGTGAACACTTCACCACTGTAAGACTATTATATGAAAATACAGAATTTATCTATAACACTAAAATATCCTTACAGCAATAAGAACAAGACTGTAGCATCCTGTTATCTCTGCTACCAAATCTATTTGTTGCAATCCCAGAATACCATAATAATTACGTAACAATTCAGTAAAATACGAAAAAATGGCCTATAGCATGTAAAAGATGATCTGTGAATGAAGATGTAGCATTCCAACTTACTTATATATGTGGTAGAGAAATGAATTAATAAATTATTTACTTATTACCTTATATTTTATCTGAAGAATCAGACCTAGAAAGCCCAACACCTTCCAGTTCTGATACTGAGAAACAGAATATATTCCTAGAAATCTCAACATTTTCAACCATTTTGTCATGAATTCAAGCAATGTACATTTAGGGATTTTTTTTTTTTTTTCAGTTTGAAAAAAAGTCACTGAGTTAACCACTCAGACTGTAATGAGACACAAAAATGACTCAGACTACGCAATTACACTTCCCTCATATATGGACAGCTAACCTGAGTCTAGCATTTGCTGTAACTGAAGAAATCTCTTCTGTATTAACACTGGAATAACGGTATTTATTGCAGTATACAAGTTTTCATCTGTGAACTTTAAATTATCTAAAATTGTCTTTTGAAGATTGGTGGTATTACCTTCATTACACACATGGGGAAAAAATAAGGCCCCCAAGAAATTACACTACTAATCAAGGCCACTAGGGCTTGATGTAAAAATGAAGTACTAAATGTACTCAGTGCCTTTATTTTTGAGAAGTCACAGAAGAACTGACAACATTTCAGAATTGAGCCATAAGAAAACCTGGAACACCTTTTTTTTTTAATTTTAAAATTGTTGAGCAGGGTAAGGTGGAAAGGTAGCGGAGATCCTTTTCAGAACATTTATATTCTTAGGAGTTTTGCTCGAGACAGAATGATAAAAGCAAGCAATTTTGCTATAGCGATACAACTATTCTGGTGAAGACAAGAAATTACTCCTTACATTTGTAAGACAAATCTTTAATAATTCAAATGTATAAAAACGTGTAATGCAGTTTGACTAATAAAAGAACTCACTGAGAAAGGGCAGAAAGCAGATCATAATGCTTCATGGTTTCAGCCAATGTATCAATAGCAGACTCTAAGGTCAGAAGCAGTTCTATGACAAAACCCTGGGGAAAGCCACAAGTCATTATAAATGATGCAATATGCACATGGAAAATCGCAGCAAATCTACTGGGTAGTAACATAAAAGTATGAGATCAGTATCAATAGCTGAATTATTATTTTATGCTTCAATTAGAACATAATCCTGATGAGACAGATCAAATCAGCATTATAGCTTCAAGACAGGGGAAGACACAATTTTTCTAAATATTCACAGAATTCAGTCTGGTTTGCATTATTTCTAAGGATGGACTTCAAGGACGGAGTCATTTAGACTGTCATTTTGCAATATTAAACGATTAGATCCACTTCTCCAGACGTATAATAACACTAAGTTGGATGTTTGTTCACACTTGATCAGGTTATGTTACAAAAGAAAATCAAATTACTTTTTATACAGCTGATCTCAGGATTCTGTAACTATGAAAAAGAAGGTGATTTCAGGAAACATGTATCAAACTCTCTGCAAGTTCCTATTGCTGTAGGAAAGAATGTGCACACCTCATCTTTTCATCATTTAATTTGGTGAAAATTCAGAAAGTGCCATGATTAAAACCATTTTGATATTTGAAATATCTTTATTTAAAAATAAGGAGCAACTGAATAAAAAAATGCTTTTAAATTTGCCTGTCATTAAAATAAAACTGAAAGTATGTCATTTAGCCAGACTTTCTAATACAGTGGGGGGAAAAATTAAAATACCTGAGCTTCTTCTCCTGCATCTCCAACAGTTTCTACTAGTCTGGAGAGAACATCAGAAAGTGTAGATGCAGTAAGAGGCTGCTTCAGAGCCCTGAAAATCTGAAAGGACCTCCCAGCATAATGTCGAGAGGAACATGAAAGCGCAGTTTGCAAAGCAACTTCACTGAGACGGTGTTCCAATTGAAATCCTCCTATAAAAGCAAATAAATGCTCAAGCAACACAACGCATCATAAAAAAATCCCCAAAACCACTTGAATTTAAGAGTATATTGCCAAAATAATTTTCTCAAGGAGTATTACTTTCAAACATCCTTCTGGCATGTAAACTTGTACTCCATAAGAGTTAACATCTGAAGTACTTCTAGAGATAAAATGTTTATGATTTGAATATTAAGGGTCCACAATAAACTAATAAGGTATTTTATGATCTTAAAGGCCTTTTCCAACCTAGTTGATTCTATGATTCCATGATCTCATTCCTGAAAAATTATATTTAAATCTGTCGTAACAGAAACATGAACCAAGTGTGCAATACACAAGAAAAATCTGTTATTTAGAAGCAGGAAGTGACCAACTAGACTGATTTTATAGATAACCTGTAAATGTACAGGCATTCAAAAAACTTAACTTAGTTTGCAGTCTTGGACATTCTATCATGCATTGACTCTTTTCTAACGTACCTGAGCTAGACTGTTTAAATATAGACACCACATGCTTTAAAAATACAGTTAACTGTTCAGCGCTCTTTATATTAGGGTTCTTGGCTGAAACATCTTCATGGTTCCAAAGTGGGCCTCTTTTCCTAGAAATATAAAAATAGAATAAACATAACAGAATATAAAACATAGTCTTTGACAGTAATATTATTTAAATGTTATTTTAATCTTAAAGTTAACTGCAAAAGAATCTACTACTTACTGCATCAAAGAAACTATTCAGAACTGCAGGCACAAATTGGGATGAAGTTTGACAACTGCACAGTATTATATAAAAATATGCAAGAAGTTAAGACAAGGTGAAAAGCAATACATTAGATCCAACTGAAGTAACAATGTTAAGTTTAGGAAGAGGCGTTCTCTGTTAGATAATACTTACTTACCTAACAACAAACCAGTACAACTAACACCATTACGCACTTCTTAACCACCTTTCTTCCCATTTTCCTCGCATCAATACACCACACTATTCTACATTTAGGCTGATGCAAATCATAAGTAACCAAAAGTTCTGAGAAACAGGTGGGATTTCAGATCTACACAATCTTAAAAGCTTTATATAAACTATCATACAAACTGCACAAGTGTTGATAGTTTTACAGATGTTCTTTGCCACAGATTCATGGTTTCCAAATAGCCAGCTCTTTCCCACTGGGCAATCCATGAAATCCACACAAATCTTGCAGCTCCCTAATCACTTTACGTATTCCAACCCTAATCCTTTAGATGGAAAAGGGAATTCTATAAACTGTGGCAAGTCAAAGTAACAGACCTGCATAGAACATGGCAAAAGACTTCTGAAAACTCAGGACACAAAAGGGTGGCCAAAATTCTCTGAAATTGTTGGAAAGTTACAGTTGTTCATAGGCTGTATTACATAAAAACACTTCAGGATTAAGCTGTCTCTTACTGGTTTTAAAAGAGGGACAAAATTAGACAACACGATGCTAAATAATAAAAGATTTTGTCATATTTTCACAAAACACATGCCTTGACAAAAGTGAAAATTGGTATCTTACCTTGAGGTAATAAATTCTATGAGAGTTTTCACTTTTTCATCCAGCTCTACTGAAATGTCAACCTCGTTGAGGATTGTGGTGTGCAGCTGAGAAATGGCAGCACTTGCATTTCCTAAACTGATGCTAGAAGAGGTAGAACTTGAACTAAGCCCTGAGTCTGTCATTGGGGAGGGCTGGTAATCAGGTATAAAATCATTAACACCTGCTGAAATAAAAACAAGATGATTATGCGCTCTGAAGTTAACAATTAATACTAAATATGCAAAAAGAAAAAAATAGCCCTCTAAACCAAAAAATCAGTAATTTAGCTAACATAATGAGAATAATTTAACGGATGCAATGAAATCAATAAGCCAGATATATACAAAGTCTTCACATAACTGGACCCTTAATAAGGAACTACTAGTTCCTTTTTTAAAACCACGGAATTATGTTTGATTTTGTATTGGTTATATGCCAGCTCATTGGCTTCTGAGGCATCTCACCTTCATAACTTGAGATAAATTAGATAATCTACTTCCCAATTTTATTTTTTTTTGTTAAAACTCAGTCCAGTGCAACTGATAGTACTTTATATCAGTGAACACCAAGTATTAGCTAGTGAATCAACTCTAAGCAGAGCCCCTCCAGCTGTGCAAAGTTAATCTTCTGCTGTACATTTTTTTCTCTCCATGTAAAGAACCATGTGGCAACAAAATGCAATTGCAGTAACCCCTCACATTACACCTCTATCTATCTAAGATGTGCTGGGAGAAAGTAAACAGGCACAGAAAAGTTGGTTACAAACCTCTGACTGCAACTATTGTTCATAAGCTTGATACTCCCTGACATCTACTACAAATTTTCCCTCTACAGAGCCACAGGGTTTGGACTGGGTATTAGCTGGCTCAAGTATAATTTAACATCAGCTTTTCTGACCTTGTGGTAGGCATGCAAACCTGTAATCACCTTATCTTAATCACCAGCTGGAAATGTTTGATGCTGATCTTATTCTACTTTCTATCAGATATTTCTGATTTAATAATAGCAAAATACTGTGTCATGTTTAGACTATTTACCCTTTTGGGTAGGAATTAGATTAGGAATAGAATAGTTTGTATAGATCACCATACAGGTGCACCATAAAATTCTGCAAACTGGTCTACATGAAAGAATCGTTCCATTATGCCCACTTTTTAATTCCTCATTGCTATGAATATCAAGTTCACAAAACAGATTTTCTGTTAAGTGACAAAACCACTTTTGACATGAACAAACCCAGTTTGCATAGCAATATGCTGCCACCTACTGAAATAATATGAAACACTAGATTTAAAAAAAATTAACTATTTCACATTTCTTTAAAAACTACAGTAGGCTCACACCATAAAAATTTTCCTTTCATAAACAGATACATAGAAAAGATATAGTTTCCTGTATAATTACAATATCAAAATGCTATGGTGAACATTAAAAGGCAGTATCTCAAAAGAGTATTCTGACAGCCTATGAACAGCTGACAAAAGTCAGAAATTTAAAGGTGCTATAAACAAGTACGAGAGATCATCATCTGGGGTTTTATTTTCAAGGGCATCATAAAAGCTGCCTTATTGCAGATCCAAAACACAGAGCTCCCTCTGTGGTTTCCCCTACTGTTTAATCATTTAACTGTGCTCCCTACTCCAATGACAGGGCACAAAGCGCTTACGTGAACCATATTCTATTTGACTTACTTTAAATCGGAAGAAATTATTTTTAATATCAAGGGCTGATAAAATACTACAAATAACAGAAATTTTAATACTGCCTGCAAGAAAATACAGCCTTCCATGTAATTTTAACAAACAACACTTAATCTAAAGCATACCTGTGAAGGTATAATCTAAATGCGTAGTTTGCTTGACAGTGAGCACCCTGGACTCATTGAACTCTCTGTTTCTGAGCAGGACAGAAGCAACAGACTGGACATTACTGCCAGATCCCATCACTATCAGTAGATGCAAAAGCAGTCGTTTACAATGCTCATAGACTTCGGGGTGACAATGGTCAAAACCTAATACAAAAGGAAAATGGAAAAGCTTTATTACATTCCAATGACATGCTGAATAAATTATTTAAAAAATAGCAGTATTCAAACTGCAAAACAAAAGCATACAGTTTTACAAACATTAACAGATTCTCTCATTTCTCGCACAGCAGTAAGAACCTAATCTGTGCTCTGTATGAAAATCACTACACAGAGAAACAGAAAAAAAATCTGAATTTTACTGTGTCTTCTATGAAAGGTAAAAGTGACTCCAACAGAAAAGTGCCTTCAAACAACTCCAAACCCCTCTCAATTATATTCATATTAATCAAGCTGAAAGATCTTTCGTTGAATTCTTCAAAATATTGTAAATATTAACAAATTAATGAGGTTTCAATACAATGGCAAATATTAAATTAAATGTGGAAAAGAACAGCTACATAAATAGCTACAATTCCTAAATTACTAGACATATTTCTGTAAGAACTTAGTTACCTATAAAAATTGCATGAAGCAAAAGATGCAAGTATCCTCCCCATTCCACCTTTACACTGTGGTCAACTATCAAGTCAGTCAAAAGGATCACTGCTATATTGCATCTAAAAGACAAGAAATTACTTGTTAGAAGAATATAACAGGAACTTTATGAAGAGCTGCGAAAAGCCTAATATGCTGCTAACCAGTATTCTTTCTTCATCTATAAAGATCCACAAAGTTGTATCATATAGAAGAATGCTTGCAATAAAGATAGACAAACTTTAGTACTCCAACTGAAAAGGCTGAGAAATCTTAAACTGCTAGACCCATGAGTAAAACCGCAGAAAACAAACGTACTATCTACTCTCCTTACATCTACCGCATTTTAATTCCTGTATTTGTGCAACACAAATTAAAACATAATGAATTGCCATCAGCATTGTTAAGAGTTACCTGTGAAGAGACATGCCCGGAGGAGAAGTTTCAGGCAAGTAATCCACTAGTGGTGACCAGCAGCCTCCAGAAGGTGGAAAAGGCAGAGGCTCTCCTTGATTGTGCTCCATCACCTTCAACCGCCAGTTTGAATACAGAGGCATTGAATCACCTAACACAATAGATAATGAAACGAGAAAAGAAGTTATAGTATGTTTCTGTATGATACAGTCTTTTAAAGAAGTATTTTTAAATTCTTGAAATGCTGAGATCTGGGAGGGTGGAGGAGGGGGAACCAGCCGTAAACAGTAATAGTTGGACACAGTTTTAAAAAGAAGCATAAGGATGATTCTCCTAAAGCTACGCATGTAACAGTTTGTGAAGATGGTCACAACTCACTCCAGAGGACGAGGGAAGGAAAGAAAGTGTATTATCTTCCTTGCACATCCTATTGTAATCAAATATTTTCTACATTGCAATAGCAGTACTAAGACTGAGGAATGCAAAACACCCGTATTAACAGGTTCATGCAAAACCCATTGATATGCCCATTTCCTCACAATCCAAAACCTCCAGCGAAAGTATTAATTTGTGAAAATGTTGTTTCCTATCCACAGAAATATTTTTAAATAGAAGTCTTACTTTTTTCCTCTTCATATGATCCTCCAGAGCTGCTGCTGTAGCGAGACTCTAGTCTGTGGTGCTGGCGGTTTAAGTTACTGTTCAACCCGCTGTAGATGTCTAGATGTACATAACTGCAGGAACAAATAAAGCACCACTAGTAACTGGCATTCTGTGACAAAAATTAACTTCAGCAAAACTAAGTGTTAAGCAAAACTATTTCAATTTACAAGGACAATCAATATGATGCCAAAGCATCTTATGTGTGTAAGACACACCTTCTATAGCAATGTCAGATTAAGAGGATTCAAGGACATAGTCCACTATAAATTATATTTCTGTTAGCTCATTTTCATTAACATTCAAGTACATTAAAATATTTGTTACCATTATACATAAGTTGTTCTCACTCTTGAGCACAATAATGAAATCCCTATTTGATCTTGCACAAATACATTACACAAACTCTGCTCTTTGAAGGGATACTCACTTCTCTTCAATATTGTCTTTTATATGTTTACTGTCAGGGTTGCCATCTGTGGGAGCTACCATTGTATTGCTACTGGAAGTGGTACCTGTGAATTATGGACAAAGAAAAAGATCAGGCAATAAGAAAAGCAGTTTAAAGCACTACATGATGATCCTTATTTACTTGTCCATGCCAAGAACCCTAACCAGGTTTACACTACAGCAACTGGCACAAATACAAAATGAGCCACAGAAATTACTTCCACATGCAAGAAAAACTTGCTGTTTAGACTAAGATTCTGAGCAGCTACTGTAATTTCACTTACGGGAGAAAAAACCCCAAAAGAATCCATTCCAGTAATCTCTGAGTCTTCAATGCAAATTAAGTAGAAAGGCTTGTTTTTGAAGCAGAGACCTGTTTCTTTCTTTGCTATATGTTATACTCATAGTAATCTGTAAAACGTAGCTGGATTTTTGGTATGCAGTTAATTCAAACCACAAACACATTAGTGATTAACACCTAACAGCCTGCAGTGAAGCTTGTATCAATTTCTTTTCTAGAGAAACTTGAAAGCCTCACACTGAACAGAAAACCACAATCAGAAACGATTTTGCACCCTCCCCACATATTTTGCTACTCTCAATTACACTACGGTGCAAGAGCTCCGTAATATTTTTTCATACTTTCCAAATACATTCATGAACAAGTGCCAATGTATCCAGCCTTGTGATCCAGATAATCCCTATGTTATAGGTCCAGGCTGCTTCGTAACCTTGACAGCTTTGCAGCACAACAGCTAAGTCCTTGCTTAGATACCCTCCCATTCATGTCTTTTGTGGCTCACTTTGTAAGATGCTTCATCAAAACCAGACAGCTTTTCCACACATTTCTCAGCATATTCTTGGATTGAAGCATGAGGTAGACACTTTATGTTTTCAGAGGGTGGGGTTTTTTAACGATTTATCTATTATTAATTGTTAATTATTTCTAAATAAATTCTCTCAAGTGTACTTAAATCCTCTTCAATAAATTCCTATGGATGCATCTTGTGTTTGTAACAGAACTTAAAACCTGGATTTATTTTTAGAAACAGAACATTAGACTCCTATTGAATATTTAAGGATGAACTCGAGTACCATAACTGATTGATGACAGCATGTTTCTCATTGACAATAACAAAAATTAAAGTTAAATTCTCACCTGATGTGACAGAGGGGATCTTATAACTGGAAGTAATGCGGTAATATGGTGGATTATCCATATGGGTGACTCCTGAACTGACGGGATCTGTAAGCTGAAGTTCACTCACCAGCTCTTCTAGTAGTTGCATTGTTTTATCTCTACCCAAATAAACAATAACTTTCTTTACCTGCCATCGAAAAAAGCATAAGTATATAAAATAGTATGTACGTAAAATTTTTACTGCAGTGACTTGATTTTAAAAAAAGGAAGAAAACAAGAGATTTGAATGCCACAACTTGTTAGAATTATTATCTACCTGCACTGCAAGTGAGGATACCTGAAACTCGAGTTCTAAAAGCAAGCCAAACTGTTTTCACAGCCATCAATAGCAAGAGGCATCAGAAACATATCACAAGAGCAATGTAAGTCTTCCGAGTGCAATGACTTATTTAAGCAGCAAAATATTTTCTTATACAGGTTTTAGCAACATCTGAGATCAACACTGGAGCAAATGTATTCTGATATGATTTCTTTTTGATACTTCACAGTTGTGTCTACACTACTGCTTCTCCAGTAGGTATCACATTTTTCCTCATGCTATTCTGCAGTGCTCTCACAGATGCTCTGTTGAAAAATAAAACTGGTTTTGAGTAGGCTTCGAGTGGGATGGGAATTTTTTGGTTTAATACTTGGTCATGCAAGAATAATTACACTGCCCCTACATGGTATGACAGATGCTTTATTTTACTCTATTATCTGTCTGCTTTTTAGGACTATCTTAAATTACAGCATGGGAAAAAAATGTTTAATTCCCAAAATGCTCAAGGCCTTTATACACTCTGATAAGAATAAACGCTAACTATAGCAATATTTTATTAAGCATATAGTAATTAAGAATTCTCCACTACACCTTACTTCAGCAAATTAATCCTGGTCATTGCTAAGCAGTAACAGATGCCTGCTAGTTACTGATTACGCTAGACATTAGTATGTTCATGTTTTGTCTCCTGATACTATATTGAGTCATCACTGCTCAATGATTCATTTCTATTCTTTTCTATTCTATTCATAACTTAATTTTGAATGGTAAGAAAGTGATCCAGGACATCTGACTCATGGAATTACTTTGTCACCTCGTTCAAACCATGTACGCCAAGATTTTGGGCTGCAACATTAAGCTAGGTTCCCTAATTTGCAATGAAGAAGTTAAGCTCTTCTTAGTAAGAACTTAACAATATTATTAGTTCCTGATTGTTTACTTCATATCTAGGGTTTGGGCTTTTTTTTTTTACTACTAGAAAAAGCTGTAATAATTCTTTTATGAAAATATTACTTATGGAACCATCGTAATTCTTCTTAATGAACAGAGATCAACAGCTGCAGTAGATTTGCGTTTTATGATGGCAAGGAGTTGTTCAATATATACTAATGAAGTAATGTATATTTAGTAAGCAAACTCTTCAGTTTCCTTTTTATGGGAAAAGAACAACAACAAAAAATAAACCAAACAAAAAAAAAAAACCTAAGACAGATGTAGTAAATCTTTTTTTATTTTAGTGAGCATTTTCCATTTTTTACGATTTACTGAATAAATGAGGTCTATGGTCCACCCTGAATTCTGACAACTTCTAAGATGGCTAGTGGACTGTTTCAGGCTTACCACACTGAGTAAATTGCAATTGTTAGCAAGTTGTCTTAAGGAGGCCTCAGCTACCTTTAAGGTGCGATACAATTTCTGGTTTATTTCCTTTCTCAAGCCCATTCCATGAATGCCCAGTTCAAGTGAAAGTGATACTGAAATTTCAACACAGGTATCCAAAGCAACTCAAACAGAAGCACTTATTTTGATTTGTTCATAGTATTTAGTGGTGTCCTGGGTTCAGCTACAGCAGTCATTTTTTCTCCTTCTTAGTAGCTGGTGCAGTGCTGTGTTTTTGACTTTCAGTCTGGGAACAACGCTGATGGCGCCGATGTTTTTGGTTGTTGCTCAGTAATGTTTGCTCTGACCAGGGACTTTCTCGGTCTCATGCTTTGCCAGGGAGGAGGGGAAGCCAGGAGGAAGCGGAGGCAGGGCACCTGACCCAAACTGGCCAAAGGGGTATTCCATACCACAGCACGTCATGCCCAGTATAGAAACTGGGGGGAGTTACCCGGAAGGCCCAGATCGCTGCTCGGGTCGGGCTGGGTATCGGTCGGCGGGTGGTGAGCGGTTGTGTCCTTTTCCCTTGTTATTCCTCTTATCATTATTATTGGTAGCAGTAGTGGTTTGTAGACCCTGTTATCTCAACTCGTGGGAGTGACATTCCTTCGATTCTCCTCCCCATCCCTCCGGGAGCGGGGGGAGGAAGGAAAAGGGGGGGAGTGAGCGAGCGGCTGCGTGGTTCCAAGTTGCCGGCTGGGCTTGAACCACGACAAGTGGTCATAAAATACAGGGTTGGAGATTTTGACACTAGAAATCCTACCTCACATTTTTTTTCTTGGTCATCTTGTCTGCTAGACACACAACTGATTTTTAAAATATCAACAGAGATGTACCGCATACTTACATAAGGCAAAAGGCTGGGTTCACTGTTCACTCCACAGATACTGATCAAGAAGTGCAAAATTATTTTCAGATTCTTTGGCCAGCTGTCTGCCAAAGTAGTCCAGACATTTTCTATCTCTGACCAAGCCACTTCATCACCATACTAGAAAACAAAATAAATAACTTCCCTGAAAATTCCAGTAGAAAACACTGTATTTGAAAGTGATCTGAACTGACCATGTGGGACAGGTTCTATGAAAGGGAGACATAAATCCTGTAAGAAGCTGTTGCCTTTTAGATTCCAGAATGAAACTTTCATATAAATTCACTTTTATAAACACATTCTGGAAACAACTATTTTCTTTTATAGCTGTAAACAGATAAAAATACATCTAAACATACGTGTACATATATATTTTATCTATATAAGATATACTTTTATACATTATACACATTTTTATTTCTATGTTAATTTATTTCTAATTTTATATATTTATTTACATAAAAAAAAAAAAGCAGCTATCTAAATTTAGCAGCAACCCATTCTCCCAGTTGCTTACAATCCTGAGTAAAAGTCCAGGGATCACAGGATGCCAAGAGTTTTTAATCTGTAGCTTAAAACATGATCTCTCATCAGTAGGATTCAAAGACATGAAGAATTGGCAGGAGCACTGTATGTGACCAATACTTTTTTTCTGTTGGAAGTTAGGAAGGAGGAGGGTCTATCAGCCTCTGACAACAAGATTGGTTCCAATACTCTACTTGGAGATCATAGGCATACAGGCAACTGAGTATTATCTATGCAGCTAGACATCTATATTCCAAAACAATCTCATACTGTTACTATAAATAGCAATTACTATAACTTTTATATTACACATTATTAATTTGCTGTACCAGCTCAAAACTGTATGGCACAGTTTGGGTATAAACAATTCCACAGATATGAATGGTAACTCTCGAAAGTCTGGTAACACAGTATCTCTGAACATAATTTTCTTGCACCCTGAACATGACAATCCACTGGAACAAGATGGAGCACTTAAGTAATTAGTCTTACCTTTGCAGTCATATACATCAGATTGTTCAGAACCATAGCTGTAGCCTGTGGTGATCCCCAACCTTCTCCTCTTAGCCATCGTCTACTATTCACCATTATTTCTCTGTCTTTCAAAGAATCTTCTTCATCTTCATCTTGCCGACGAATAGTTGGCAAAGGTTTCAAATCTACCAACTCAATATTGTTCATCCATGGCAGAAGATAATGCAGCATCACCTGTCTCCCAGCTGGGTGAGCCGTTTGGATTCTCTGACTTACTTCTGTCATTCAAAAATTAGGTACATACATGAATTGCAAAGTGGCAGTGAGAACTGTTTCACTAATAACAACAACCATGAGCCCAGAAGACCATACTGATATAAAGTAATATCGACACAGACATATTTTTTTGTTTCATTAACTAGTGTCATTTCATAATGATAAACGCTGCAGTCTGAAATAGAACTAATTGAAGACACTGCTGACAAACAGTATGCTGAAGAAACCATATTAGTATATGCATCTATACATATTCCTCTAATTGGAGGAGGGAACTAACAACCTAGAGCATGTAAAAATACCAACTTTGTCAAAAAAGCACTTAAAATGTTTTCTTCCACATATTAGTCCTAGTTTTGTTTTTTTTTTAATTGATGTGAGATGTCATTGTTATGGAATAATATTTTTAAGCAATCTACAGTAAATAAGAAAACAGTAAAAAGAATAAGAATAATTTTTAAAACAGTTGCAAATTATTTCTTTAACATGATTTTTCGTGGCTATTAGAAAGCCAGTAAAAGTATCTTTTGATTCATGTTGTTTCCTCTTGAATGTATTTCAAACACAATTAAACAAAAGTTGTCACTCAGTAAATCCGATTTTCTACATGTACTATAATGATTTATTTATAAATTATTTATTTATTCTGCTGTCCTGATTTTAGTGAATTGCATATAAATTAATTTTGAAAAATAAGAACTACACATTTTGTACAACACCGTTGACCCAATGAGGTTTTTTGCTTTGTTTTAAAACCGTACCTGAGAAAATAGCAAGTGTTAGCTCAGGGTAAGTCCTTGCTAATTCTTCTGACAGTTGATAATAAGACACAGAATACAGATGTGGTAAAGGAGAAGGCTGACCCAAAACCCCATCCGTCCGCTGAACTTCCAGTTTGTGAGCATAACGGAACATCTTTGGTTCCAAGATCTACAATAGTAATGTTCAGACTTTGAGGCTACATATAGAGCTACAATGGAAATTTTTATATAAAATCACCTTTGAAATTCATGCATCTACTCTCATTTAATGTTTCCATTAAATGACCTCCATACATCTACAGTATTCAGCAACACTGTGGTAATTTCACAGAAGACTAACTAAAACTCAATCCACTTGATGAGTTTCCAGCAATAAATTTCAGAAATCTGCTTTTATGAAATACCTTATTAAATATAAATTTCTCTACAACAAAATGTGAAATATTACTGAACACCTGTACTTCCAAACTTCCGCTAATCTATGAGACATGGATAGGAGCAATGTAATCTTTGATGTAGCAGAGATGCAGCAGGAGGCTAAAGGAGTATGATACGTTAAAAATCCGTTTTGGCTGATCTTAAGCAATGGCGTTCAGAGAAGAAAGATAGTGCTGAAAGGAAGGGTGGTGTGAGTACTGATATACCAACAGGGGTGTGACTTCAGTGGGCACTTTACCGTTGAATTTAGCTGACAACAAAAACCTTTTCAAAAACCTCCAAAGCTTGTGGTCTGAGCCACAAGCAGCACAGATTCACTTATTTATATTTAAACACTAATGCTGCCTGTAAGATTAAGCTTATCTCTAAATGACCTCCGAAAGGAATATACGAAAGTAAATTAAACGGCTAACAAGCTTTTCACTACCACCTCTCCTCACACACAGATGAAAAAAATGTTTGGTATTAATGCAGAAGTCGGAGAACTGACTGCTGCTCCAGAAAACACAGGGACAGGAAGCACACGCTTCTCTCTGAGGTGCCTTTGGACAAATGGAGCTATGTACCGCTCTGTTCCGGGCAAAACCAGATGATTCTACAAAGCTTGATTTAAGTTTCGTCTCTTGAAAAAGCAGGTATTACGGTATTATACTAGTCTCAAGTGCTTTGTTCCTGAAAACAGACATGCTTCCACTGACGTCTGTGTGTGCCAGGTAAGGATCTGGCATAACTAAATACTAAAATAGAGAAGGAAAAATGAGATATGTTGTATTTCATTACTGAAGGGACAATCAAATAAGAACAGTTTGGGGTTTTTTTTCCAAAGTGCACAGGGCAATTCTTATTTTAAATGAAGAAGAAAATTCAAAATCAGCTTACAAACCTGTAATAGTTGCATAGCAACTTCATAGATAGCCCTAGTAGAATCAGCTGCTTTAAATAATATCAGATTCAGGAGGGTCACTGTATCACACTGGTATTCCCTAGGGAAACATTGGAAGTGTGAAATAAATAAAATTACATTTGGCTTTTTAAAATTTGAATTTATTAGAAGTTTAATTTACCGGGAATTATGGTATGCGATAACATTTTGAGAAGTTTCCTTAGTAACACACAGCGAAGAACTTTCCTCTTTAAGGCAGGAAAAAACACAGTTCTACATGAAAACACTCTTTGAAAATAAAAGTTTAAAGTTTTGAAAAATGCTGTAGTACCTGTTTTGGAACACACTGGCTATGGCTTTAAAACAGCCAGCTGCTACCCGCTTGGAACCTGTATAACACCGGTCTACAGCCCAGTACATGAGGTTACTCTGGTCGGGGTTGAGTTCCAAGAGCAGCATGACTGCCTCACAGCCTAGCTGGTGAACCTGCATTCCAGAAAAGAACCAATATATATTTATAAATATAGCAAAAAAGACCAACTTTCAAAAATGGCATAAAATAGGCAATAAATATTTAACTTTAAAAGCCCAAGAAAAGAACTGCAATAAGCAAAATTTGTTCCATCTAAAACCAATGAGCCACAGCTTAAAATAACAACAGGTAATTGCATCAAACTGTTTAATGTTCAACTTGCACACCTCTAGTGATTTTTTTATTCCTCCGTTCCAAGGCCACCTTGAGCTATTTACTATTTTAACTTGTCTTACTACAAGCTGAACACTGACCTGAAAGCATCAAACACAGAAAAGCACTTAAACATACACAGGAATTCCAATGGCATAAAAGGGATAGATCTATGTGGAGACTTGCATATTCTCTTGAATCAAAGTAGCCCACTGGAGCTGTATTTTATGTAGTCATAGTATTTAGTGCAATGGAGGCCCTATCTTTTAAATCTAAAGCTTGCCTTGTTCAGATGTAAAGCTTGGTCTTCGTAACTCTACAGGAGCCCTGATGGACAACACAGTCTTACAAGAGTTCATGTTCAAAATCCTGTCTCCTTTAAGTTTCTAAAAGATCTGCTCATTACTGCAACTTAACCTAGCTAATTAGTTTATAAACAATACGCAATGTTTCACTCCTTGCCCTTTCCTTTTCCATTATGTTTTGTCCGTTCTTAGGCTGATTAGGGACTGCCTCCCTCAACAGGGTGAATATACACATTAAGGACAGTACAAAAATATGCACTACTAAACCAGCTTTGAGCTTAAGCCACTTTAAAGCTTTTAGGCCAATCTGACCACAAAAGTCATTGAAGCAAATGTTGAAGACACTGGCAGCTGCAAATCAATGTTGACATTGCCTGTGTATTACCTTTTTATCTTGTGAATCCAAGATATTATCCAGCCATTTGTACAAATAGCCATCAGATGAGAGCCCGACATTGTCTGCAACAGGGCCACAACACAGTACAGCAGACATAGCCTTTAGAGAGTAATTGAAAAACTACATTTTAATAACTCAGATACAGAAAGTGCTTTTACCAAATGCATTAAAATATCAGAAAACTAACTTCTATTCAATCAAGGGAGGAAGACCAAGGGTAACAAAAAACTGTTTAACATCTTATTCAATAAATTATCAAATCATATTTTTCTGAACTCCCAAACACAAGGAACTGTCAATACTGAAATGTTGACATATATAAGAGTCAATGTGTCAGTTTGATTGTTAATACATTTTTACATAAAAGCCTTTCTCCTTAGACAACTAAGGACTGAAGTCACAGGAAGCAAACATTTAGTAGTAATTTTAAGAAATTCGTACAGTGAGTGTGATAGTTTATGATGAGGAAAAATCCAAACTGTCATAAAGACACATAAGGCAGAAGAAAAAAAGAACTAAGTCATAAATGGCAACAAGGATGCGAAAACCACATTCAAAGAGCCATTGCATTAGAAAAGTCAGAGTAACAATTTATTTCCAAAATTCAAAAGTGCTAAAATACCTTTAATGCACAGTATTGGTGTCTGTTTATTCTCATGTTCCTATCACTGTATCTGTCCAGGGGAGTAAACATGATACTAAAAGGACCTGCCCAATGACTGAACAACATAAATAGACTGTGGCGTAGACTCTGCTGAGGAAAGACACTTCTCCTCTGGTGTACTGTAAGAAAAGCACACAGACACATACCTGTTGTCATTCTTTAAAATAAAGTATGTAAACCAGAAACAAACCCAAACAATGAATATAAAAAGAAAAATCAATGAAAAGACGTATTATTATAACTTCGTAATAGCTGGATGTAGGTTTACTATTGTCCTGTTTAATGCCATTAGTGTACAAGAATAAGTTATTCCTTAGTCTAGAGAATTTAAACACACTGCCAACCAATGAGACTTTTTCTAAATAAGAAAATTATTTGTACACTTCCAAATAGTACCAAAAACCCCTCTTAAAAAATTACGCTGCTAAAGTTATATTCAAAACTGATGGCATAAATTATTTTTATAAAATATTCTGAAACATCAGTGAAAAAGTGGCTTTTTCTTTAGGGTTGTGTTTTTTGGGAGGGGTGCTGTTAATGCAGTACATATTAAATACAGTCACCAGAACTTATTAAAGCATTTTTACATACCTGGAACATTTTGAATGATATTTGCCACTAAGGCACTAAAATGGCATCGGATATCTTTCAATGTATCAGAATCCTTTTCATTTTCTGCTTCTAGGAGTTGTCTTGTTAGATCAACATACTCAAGTAAAGTGTTGTTGAGGGAATGTGTTTCATTATCAAGGCCACCACTTGCACTTAAAAATAAAACAATGAAATAGTATGATAAATACATAAAATGATTTTTGAAAACAATCTTTTTTTTTCTGTCTTTAAAGAATCCTACAACCTCACCACTGCAAATATTTAATTCAAAGTAATTTCTTCAGTCAGTTTCTATTTCAGTGTTACATAAAAAGCTCTAGTGAAAGCAAACTAATAATCAAGCCTCACTATTACAAGTCACTCATCCTTCCACAGAATTAGTTCTTGTATTGGGGACAAATGTTGGTAATAATGAGGTGAAATGGAGGGATTAGAAAGCCAGCAAAATGCCAGGGTTTACAAAACCATTTCTATACTAAAACTCACTGAAGAATTTTGCAGGTTTGTTATACTGGGTCATAAGAACACCAGTGACTTAATTCAGAAGCATGAACAACACATCTCACCAGTGCTGCCCTCACCTGTGACTAATGACACCAGCATCTGCCAACAGTTCAAATATTCGTACTAGTTGTACTCGTAAAATATCTCGACGCCTGCGCCGTTTCATGTTCTAGTCAACACAGGAAACACAAAATTAAGTGAAGCAGAGGAAAAACTAAGTATAAAACCAGAGTGGCATATAAAAGCATTATTGTATCTGTACTACAACTAGCATTAATTATCAAGGGTGCCAACCTTTCAAGATGAGCTACCAAAATTGCTAACAATTTTAATAAAACAGAAAACAAACAAAATCTTTCCCGGTTGCCACTCCAAGTTATGCTAGGTTTGCTATTACATGTATTATCAAAACCATGGGTTTTAATCAGTCTCCTGTAGCAAAGTGCAACATATAAACCAATGAAGTACAAATGCCAATCTTTCTGTGTATTTTGAGATAGGTGATTCTTCCCTTCACACTGCTCTGGTGAGACCCCGCCTGGAGCACCGCATCCAGCTCTGGAGCCCTCAGCACAGGAAAGACATGGACTTACTGAAGCAGGTCCAAAGGAGGGCCACAGAAATCATCAGAGGGCGGGAGCACCTCTCCTATGAGGACAGGCTGAGAGAGTTGGGGTTGTTCAGCCTGGGGAAGAGAAGGCTCCATCCAGGGAGACCTTATCTTCCCAGCCTTCCAATACTTAAACAGAGCTTATAAGAGAGGTGGGGAAAAACATTATAGCAGGGCTTGATGCAACAGGACAAGAGAAAATGGTTTTAAACTAAAAGAGAGGAGATTCAGACTAGATATAAGGATGACATTTTTTATGATGAGGGTGGTAAAACACTGGCACAGGTTGCGCACAGAAGTGGTAGATGCTCTATTCCTGGAAACTTTCAAGGCCAGGGTGGATGGGGCCCTGAACAACCTTATCTAGTTGGAGATGTCCCTGGCCACTGCAGAGGGGGGATTGGTCTAGATGACCCTTAACGGCCCCTTCCAACCCAAACTATTCTATGATTTGCATACAAGACTGCCAAAACACACTACAGACCAGTAACATTTTGAAAGAGAAGTGATGTTCCTTCCCATCATCTGGGAATTTAATTACAAATTTGTTACTAATAAACATATTACAATTACCACAAAAAATAATGAGCAATTGCCTCTGAACATGTGTTTGTGGAGATTATTATTTCTGTGAATACCTACTGAGGCTTCTAAACCTTGCTGTAAAACATGCCCTCCATCAGAAAATTTTTAGTCAGAGCAGCCAGTCAGGTGAAATTTCAGCCTTTTTCATTACCAAAAATAACACTAACAATCAACCAAAATCAAAGCAAACACCCTTTCCGCCCACAAAACCACAAAAAAACCCCAAACCAACAGTTGGTAGACAGTAGAACTCAATTCCATGTCTTAGCTACTACTAATTGTGGGCATGTTACTGATAATATATGATATAATGATGTAACAACTGTGTAAAGCTACTCTAAGGTAAAAAGAAAAGGTTACCGTAATTTTTTCTTTTTGAAACAAAACCTCTGATACAGGAATAATACAAAGCTCAAAACAAACAAAGCTCTGTGAACACCTCGCAATCATTTAAAGACGTAACATCTCACCTTTTTAACTGGTCTCTGACAGTTTTTAGCTGAAGAAATTAAAGAATATAACTAACATTTCTTTACTACCATTCGTGAGAAGATAGTTATAACTGTGTACTGAATATAGTGGAAAATATCTAATTACCTCTGGCCTTCTTTCAAGTGCTTCCTTAATTATAGGATGTAATTCTTCTATTAGTTCCCTGAATTAAAATAAAAGAATTCAAAGAATAAAAACAACCATTAAATTAACATCTCAACTGAAAGATGTTTCACAGCAACTAGTATTACAATATAAGTTAAAATACCCTCAGGCTTTCTTTCTTTACCTGTAGCTTTCTGAAATAAATTAGCATTTAAAGAGATATTTCCTAGAAAGATATTTTCCCAATTTAAAGACAGATGACTAAACAGATGTCTCTAATTACCACTAAATTTGCATTCACCAAGCATTACGGCATATTTCTATCACAAATGATTTCATTTACTTTCATATTCAGGGTTTAACAAAGCCTTATGGTGCAAACAGATACTCTTTGGGAAAAAAAAAAGATGTTGGCAGCTTATCATACAATGCTCTTTGAGTTGTCATGATGCATTCATTTAGTTGTTGATAAAGACTGTTTCTTTAAGGCAAATAATGCTAAGCTGACAGAAGTTAGACTAGTCTCTATGAAAACTGAAAAGCAGCATGCGTTGACGCTTTGGTTACATTCCCTATTTGTTCTGAAGCTCCGCAGTCTTTCCTACTACTCAGTTCCCTCTGCCAAACTAAGACTCTCTTGTAACTGCAAAAAGGGGACAGGGAAAGGTGATCAGTAGTATGAATCTATGCAGACAAAATACTAGGGTAAAAACATACTATTTTTACTTAAATATTTGTTAATGAAGTAACTACCAGCTCCACGTTAGATTGGGAAGGTGATACAGTACTTCCCATGCTACTGTAATTCACGCATATCAAAAGCATAAACTGCTCCAAGTTTTCATGGTAAATGAATGACTCCTCTGCTACATTATTCAATGGCTCACCTTCAGAGGATGGGTCCAAGTGACCAGAAAGCTGCACAAACTTTTGTGCTGTGCTCAATTACCAGAGACTTAAGCATAGTTAGGGATTGTTTTATGCTTCCTTCCAAACATAGAAAACAGAGAAAAGAATTTGGAGGAAGCTTTTTTGTGCTAAAACATAGCAAAGGGTCAGTTTCCAATGGAGAGCAAGAGGCACCTAGACAAGTTCAAGAACATGTAATGAGATCAGAAACAGAAAACAAAGGATTTTTCTGGCAAGTTTAAGAGGACTGCATACACATGTAACCTATAGAGAAAAAAAGTTCCCAAGGGAAAAACCAACAGGGTGAGAAGAATGGTGCTTAATAAACAAAACCAAAACAACAAATCGGCACAGATCTGCAATGGTGAAGGGTGGGATACAGTTAGCATCTGGTGTGAGTATGCATCTCGGACAGAGGGAAAAAGCTGGTCATCAGGAATGTTTTCCTTCTTCATCCATCCTCCTTAGAGAGTTGTCAGTTGACGAAAGCAATAGAGAGATGCATTTAAAACTCATGGCTTCCCGGCACAGAACTGTCTTTTCACCTCAGTGGATTTGCAATAGACACTGATAGTACAGTACAGTAGGATCTGAAGAAAAGCAAATCTCAGTTGAGGCAGGAACGCCACGATGGCTAGATAGACCATTTTGACTACAACAATTAGATAAAGCCTTGTCACAGTAGAGTAACCAGAAGTTTAGGATTATGATCTGAATCCAAGTATCATGAACAAGATGAATGAAACTGAAAGAACAAGTGATTGACTTGCCACAGATTTAATTCTGTTACAGCAGAACACAGTTACCAGCATTCCCAAACTAATCCACTAAGCCCCACAGGGACTTCACGTTGGTACAACCCAGAAGAAAGGTGTATGAGTTATGAAGTTACAGGAAGTTTACTCAGAAAAAAAAAAAAAGAAAATGTGGAGAGGGATGCACCACGGATTTCAGAAGCTCCAGCATTCACCAGAACACATCTGTACTGGGTATTTTTCAGCTTGATCCAAAAATCTATATTTAGAATACAGTTACTGTGAAACTCCCACACCCAAAGAGCTCAGGAACATGTTCGTTGGCAATACTAATAAGGAGAATTCAATAACTCTTACAAATGTGATTATAATTAACACTTCAAATTTTCCATGCACACTGCTCTTCCATAGAAGGGCAGCTTTTAGTATCAGTAAAAGGTAGCTGTTTATTTTCTTTCAACTACCTTCTTTTTCTTCATGCAGACATGAGCTCTATTTAAAATTATTTAAACCTCTAACAATCTTCATCACACCACTAAATGGTAGAAAAGACAACAGTAATCACTTTCCATAGATTTTTTCTTAAAAGAAAAAAACAAAGCAAGCCTTTTTTCTGAGCTCTGATCTCCGACTTTGTAATCAATTAGCATAAAACCAGATGAAACACAACAGTTACCTGAAAGCTCCTGGGTTGGTCCTGCCAAGTCCCAGCACAAGGGATTCTGTAATTTCCATGCTCTCAGAGCGCATCATTGGAACTATGTGCTTAAACAGGGAGGAAGGGGATGGAATGCCAATGATCTAAGAAAACCAGAATCAAGCATAATGAAGCAGTTACCAAACAATCAGGTGGTGTGACATTAAAACATGTGCTGTAATTTTACAGCCTTCTCACACTGATCAGTGACTTTAAAAAATTTCATTTTTATCATTTTATCTTTGATATGGAGAAAGACTTTCTGAAATAGTAAAACAGTATTAACTGCTTCTCCATTCCTTGTATAACTGAATTTTCATTGTCAGATGACAATGAATGGCTCAACAGGATAAACAGATGCTTTGCATGTTAAGTGTATCTGCTCTCATTAGGGAGAGGAAGCAGCCTTCTCGTGTCCAACTACTTAGACTCCATTGTGGCTCTCAAAAAGAACAAAGCTGAATTTTGGGCTACACTTTCTCAGATTTAGGGAAAGGATCTTGGTAACAAACAAGCTGAATAGGCTGCTTCTGCCAAAAGTCTGCTGCATAGTTCATGAGTTATCCTCATCTCTACTGAACCTTCTACAGAAAGCCAAAAAGGAGAAAACCAAAAAGAAGCAAAGGAGAGGGGGAAGAAAAATAAAACGTCTGCAGGTAATATAAAGCAAGGCAGACAGAAAACTGTCTGTGGTTGGGAAAATACAGTAAGATACATCATTCCTGAATAGGTAGCTGTTTCAGTTTCTGAAATGAAAGACTATCTGCTCAGAATTGCAGAATTCTACTGATAGAAAAAAAAAAAACAAAACCATCCCTTAGTAGTAAACAAAACATTTCCTCATTACCGCTAAGTAAGACTTCGAGATTCGGTTAAGATTTTCATTACATGACTAGATTTTGCCTTAGAAATGCATAAGCAGAAAAGCCTCTACAGTACACATAAGGAGAAGCGAACTAAAGCACTATCCTAAATAAATGAAAGACAAATGTATTCTCAAACATGTTTTCAGACAATTTACACGAGTTTCTAAGAATCATGATAGTCACTATAATCCTCAGGTATTTCTACTTCTAATAACATGTAGACTTATTTATGATAAGCATTAGAAGAACCTACTCTTGAATCAATGCTATAACCACTGTCAGGAGTAGACGCCAGCGTCTCAGGAGGGGAACATCTCACAGAGCCTGTGGAGGTGGAGGAGTTTGAAGAAGATGCTGCACTGCAGCAAAGAATCAGGTAGTTTCTCCAGAGCCCAATATAGGAGTCACTGCTTGTAGTAGTATTCACTTTCTTTGCATTGATAGGGCTGCTATTAAAAAAAATAACAACAAAAAGCTCAGTGTAGTAAATAAAGCTTACCAGGTTTCACTTTGGCTTTCTGCTGAATTTATTTTTCAATTATGTATATGCCATTGCTTCCAAAATTGTTAACATGTTAAACTCTGAACAGTTCAGAACAGACCTGTACCTCAATAACATATGCTCTTTTATAGTCAAATCTGTTGAACTATGATATGGCTGAAGGAATGAAATAATTAATCTTTAAAGCAGGTAAGTTTTTTTTCCCTGGTCGAACTACTTCAATTTTTTGTTATATAAAGCTCAATTAAACTCACAGAAAATATTAACAGTCCATACATCACCTCACTGAAACATAATGACATTACAATAGTGATAAATTTTGGAAGAATCCTCAATATAATATATTGTATTTACTTTAGAAATTAACTTACTTTATATCCACTTGTGGAGACAGCAGTTGGAGTCTGGTATACGCAAACGTCCAAGCATAGCTTACAGCTGTTGGGCAGTGTTTTGGGAGATTTTCCTGTTTCATAAAACTTGAGAGGCTTATAATCCATGGATCTTGGCCTTGAGTCACATGTGCAAATATCCATATATGTGATGGACTGACCACATCAAACTGGTGGCTGATGGGGGAGGAATTCCAGTCAGCCAGAGTTTGTAAATCTATTGAACTGGGACAATACAGTAAAGTAGTCTGTGTGCATAAAAAAGAGAACAGGGCAATATTTAATATCTATGTATAGTAAGAACAATCTTTTCATTGTTAAATATCTAATAAAGTATCAGTGTCAAAATCACATTTGGAATAGATAAAACATTACTTGATTTATGTGTTGGGGTTTTTTGAAGTTCCTAATGCGGACAGTTTTATAAACATGGTGTATGGGAAGGAACTGAGTATTAGGAAATAGTAAATTCCAGAAAAGGGCCTTTTCACTCCTGATGACTTAATTCTCTTCAAGAAGATTCTGTACTCTAAAAGCCTTACTACTGACCTCCACTTTGTTTCATAAACCTGAAAGAACTTTACCTTGAGACTTAAGAGCTAGTAATAAATATGTAAATATGAAATTCAGTTGTTATTCATTGACAGTTACAGCTTTCATCATTTATAAAAGGCACGCTATTAAGACACTGTACTGCTGCAGAAAAAGGCAGGGGTCTTTCCTTCAAAGAATCTGTAATCTATGAACAAGATGAGAAAAAACACAGATATAGCTGTCTGTGTATATGGTGGTCATAATGACACGCTATTGATCAGGAAGCATATAATGGTGGGGTCAGCCTCACAACATGCCCTGAGTTCTTCTTGGGTTTTGTTCTGTTCTATTGTTTGCAGGGTTTTGTTTGTTTGTTTGTTTCTTTGTTTGTTTTCCCCTTTGGTTGGGTTGATTTGTTTACATGTTTTTCTTAAGGTGATAAACTGCCAGTGAAGTTAGCATGAACACAGTGACACTACCATTTAAAATACATACAATATTTTTTGCAGAATTACCTCATCTCACATCCAATTTTACACAAAACCTCTCCTACCTGGTCAGCCCCAGTGAGATGTATGAAACTCTCCAGGATAGTAGCACTCAGTCTGTCCATTACATCTATAGCCAACTCATCGTCACTCTACAAAATTAAAAATGCAAAGCACAAAAATCATAGAATGGTTTGAAAAGGACCTTAAGATCATCTAGTTCCAATCCCCTGCAATGGGCAAGGACACCTCACACTAAACCATGTCACCCAAGACTCCATCCAACCTGGCCTTGAACACTGCCAGGGATGGAGCATTAACAACTTCCTTGGGCAACCCATTCCAGTGCCTCATCACCCCTCCCATAAAGAACTTCTTTATATCTAACCTAAACTTCCCCTGTTTAAGTCTGAACCCAAAAAGCTCAAAGTCAAGATAAAAGCAGTTTCCTTAAGCAGTCACAAGAATGGATCATCGGTTCTTACCTTAGAAATCTCTAAAACTGTGAACAAGGCCCTTATTTCTCTGAGAACACTGACAGCCAGTCTCCTGGTGGCAGGTCTTGTGCTGCAAAGGATGACCAAAGCAAAGCCTTCCACCACATGGAATACACTCGAATAAAGGGTCCTCTCCAGAGGAAGGGTATGGGCAGCCCCATTGGATACACCACGCTAAGAAAAAGATGCAGAAGTTAAGCAAATTAAGAAAAAAGTAAATATAATCAAGCTATAGCCCCATTATTGGAGATGGCAGAATTCATCACACAGTACTTAGATCTTGTTTGGCTACTAGTCAAATCTGCATTATGAAAATGGCATAATATGAGCTACTTTGGTTTTTAAGTATCTCTCTGAATTCAGTCCAAATACAGAATGTGTCTTATTTCATTTTCTAATGAGAATGACACAGTAAGAACAAAATTAAAAAAAGTAATACTCTTACAGATAGGATTGTATAAAATTAAATTATCTGAACCCTTTCTGTTTGCTAGTAAAAAATCATGCTTTTTTCTAGTTCTACTGTTTAACCACTCCTACTTAATATATTTCCAATTATCTTGATGACTTTTGATGTAAGCAAAAATGTGGACATGAGTTAGGGTTTTGGTAATATTCATTTTTTTCCCCCCCAAAATGCTAATTTAAAATAATATGTTCAAAAATTTCCAAGCACTGTAATTTTTATTACTTAATAAAACCAATAAAGCCTACTAATAAAACTGTATGTAGAGTCAAACCATGTTTTAACATCAAAGGACCTTATTCAGAAATACCTGAGAATCTTGGTTTTTATTGTGCATTTGGGCTGCTTGTTTCCACTGATTTATGAGCTGCACTAACATTTTTACTGCATTGTCAAGAAGCGTTGGGTGGATGTCAGTCACTTCACGCACAATAAAATATACAAATCCTGAAAGAACATCTTCCCGCCAATCTGGAAAATCAAGCATTAATGCTTGGAGAGTATTGAAAGCCAAGGCACGAAGTTCTTCATCCATATGAATTGTCAGCCTGTTTAGAAAAAATACCAGTATCATCACCCTCGATTGGCATACTCTTAACCAGCTTTTATAAATTATGGTGTCAATTCTTCCTTCTTTACTGTACAATGTAGAATACTTCCACGCAGATTCATGTTCTGCACTGAATACATCTGAAACTGGCTACTAACAGAAGGTAATACTAATAATGCAAGACTTCATAAAACTTAGTAAAAAAAATAATTTCAGAGATATTGTCAAGTCTTTCATATAGACACATCACTGCATGAATCTGAGTCCACCTCAGAGCTCAGTATTCAGGCACCCTGTGATGTACATGCTATTTTCGTCAAATTAGAATTGAAAAGAACAGATTAATTTTGAAGATAAAGTACCTTTACTCATTAAAAAAACCTTTGCAAATATACTTAAAAATATGTCTCAACCCACTATGGTAGATGAAACTTACCAAGTACTGTATTATTACTTAGTACTTCATGCCTTTATGTGATTTTTGACAATGATGAAAAAGCTTTAGAAAAATCTTATTCTCTCAAATTATTATTAACTTTTTAATATATGTAACTTAATACATTATATGGCAGTGAATATATAATTTCAAATCTAAAAGCTCTGCTGTATTTCAGCACAGAGACCATTCCTGTACTAAATAAATCTATAAAGTTTTAAAGAGGCAGGGTTATCACTCTAAGTAATATGTAAAGACTGCCTGCATGTCTCACAACTACATACTCTCACTGAATGCTCAGTCTACCTACCTGCACCTGGCTGCCCAGTTGTCTCAACTACTTATCAGTACTGGTAAGGCACATTCAATTTAAATTGAGATAAGAGATGGAAGAATATGGGTAATGTTGGATTTAAAAAAAATAAAAAATAAAAAATAAAAGAAAAAGGGAGCAGAATAGAGAATAAGAAAAAAAGTTTCCCTCAAGTGCTCTGCCTTACATTTTGGTGATGTCAAGCAACACTTTTATGATAGTTTGCAGTACTAGAAATTGGAAGAAAAAGAAAAAAAAGGAAAAAGTATGTTTGTAGTAACGAAATGTAAGGCAAGTGCAAAAAACAGAGACTAGAAATGAACTCCGACTTCTCAAAAAATTATCTCTAAAAAAGTGCAAGATCTTCAGGATAAATTTACCTCCTGCTACTCTGGCCAGTAACGCTTGACCAGTTGCAGAAGGTAGGCAGGAATAAGAATGGATTCTGTATGCAGTGGACTCACACTACATGACAAACTCTTATACACATGGCATTTAAAAAGGAACATCCATTAAGAGCAGAATTTTATTTCTCTTACCTTGCAAGCAATTCAATGAGGTCAGTCCTGCTCATGCCATCTGGAATCAGTCTTGGGATAGCAGCAATGCAAGTTCTGAATAAATCTATCTTAGGTTTTCTCTCACCCCTTCAAAAACAACAGGAGAGTTCTACTTCAGAACACCACAAATATTTTCAACTTCACATCAAAACTAAGGAGCTAACAAAATTTTTTATCAGTATTTAATGAAATCAACAGTCATTTAATAGTCAAGAAGAAAGCCAACAATTGTAATGCATTAGTGATGGCATTTGCAACATTACAGCACAAAACCAGCGAAACTTAACTGTGACAGTGAAAACACTGTAATTCAGTACATACGTAATCATGTCTTCAGGTTCTTTATTGGACATCTGCACACTAGTCATGCACATGGGCCTTCCAACTTCTTTGTCCAAATGCCTAAGAATGCTGTCTAGCGCTTTTCTGACTTGAGGGTAGTATATGGACATTCCTGAAAATCCAGAACAGATACAATCACCTCTTTCATTTGTTTTCATTCAATTTTCATATTTTTTATTAAAATATTTGCCACTTATTCAGTTTAGGACAATTTTTCTCTTGTACAAAACATGACACGAAACACACACTTTAAGTGTCAAAGGAAGTGCATATTACTGAGTAGTAGTAGGTATTGTATGAACCTGGAAGTTCCAGAAAGAACATAAACAAGGAAGCAATCCTTGTTGCTTTTCCATTTTCTCAATTCCAAGCAATTTAGTTCTAATTTAAATTTTACATGCTGAAACAGTCCTTGAGAGACAACTACCTCATCCACTGAAGATCAACAGAATGTAGGTATCAAAACTGTCTTACTCCACTTCAGCTGTGGGACATGTGGGATATTCTAGAGTGACATCAAGGCAACAAATATGGCCATGCTGTTCACCACACTAACTGCACTCAGGCTTCTTTGTGCTAATTTGGCAGTGCAAAACACTTCAAAAAAAGCCATGGAGTTTGTCTTGGGCATCGAAAGGTCAATACTGCCTAGCAGCCCTCTCTAAAGAATCAAAGCAATTCTGTTACAACAGGCTATCACTGGATTCTCTCCAACAATTCAAATAAATACAGAAAAAAAGTTACACAAATGTACTGCTTGAGAATAATTGAAAACACACACACACGTACTGGAATGCCAACTTATGAAAGAATACAATGTACCTATAACTTTTGCTTCCTCATCTGTCAGTGTTTTATTAAGAAAAATTTTCTTCACGCGCAGAGTATTTCCTGAGGGAAGAACAACTCCTGTTGTTGGCATTGGTGGTTCACCGTCTTTCTGCTGCAAGCTGTCTGCTATGACAAGGAAGACTCTGAGGCCAATATTCATCCTCTTCAACAGCAAAAAAGAGAAGAAAAAGGGAAGAGGAAACAGAAGAAATGATAACGTTAAAGTAACTCAGACAAGGCAAACATGAATTGCATATTTCCTCTCTTTTAAACAGAGCAGTATGGTTCCAGTAGGAGAGACATTAATTTAAATGTTACATGTTAGAGTAATAAAATAAAAAGAATAAAGTTTAAGCCTTGAGTGCCTCCCCACAACTCTGATTCCACTTAACTGATTTGGCACAGGCATTATACTGAAAATTTCATAGTGCAGAGCACTGGAGGACTTAATACAAATCTCAAGAATGACATACTGAAGGCAGACATTGCTTAAAGGTCTCAACTGTTAGATTGAGTCTTGAACCATAAGACCTAGGTATGACTTCCCTGAAAAAAGACTGTACAGTTATACTGTAATAAAAATTCACACAAACTATTGTTGAAATGAGTCTGAACTCAGTAGTACTGTTGCTAGCTTAAACACTGGAAATGAAACAAGTGTGCACGACTACAATTACTTCTTTAGTTTAAGGAGAACACCCTTTTGGATATCCATTAATCTGCTTTCATCCTGGCTCAAAAATAGTTAACCACTTTCCCCCAAAGTACCCCAACGCCCAGTTCTCACTGGATGCAAGTAATGAGCTTTTTTTACCTCTGGGTTAATAGTGAAGGTTTTAGGAGATTTTCCAACACTAAGAAGATCAAATATTATTTCTTTCATTGCAAAATCCAAACGTTCCTATAAAGGGAAAAATAAATTGATACTATTATCTCTTTTTAGATATTATGCATAGTTTAATTTCTTGGCTTTGCACAGGTGCTGGGTATCAACTCTTAAAAGTTTAAAAAATTAAGAAATTTTAAAATATTCCTTATTTCCTATTTATTCTTATGACTTAATGTTGGTTTTTTGAAATACAGTACAATTTAACAGAGCTCATCCCCTGACATGGTTGAACCATTTCTCCTAAGAAAAATTCGCAGACAATTCTGATCAGTTCAAACACATTTCTACAAATAAGCTGAACTGTTTTAGGTAAGTAAAATTTAAGTGACAGGAAGAGGAGCCCTAGGAAACAAATATAAATAGTGCAATGTGTCCTGCCTCATCCCCATACTGTCAGAAGCAAAGTGTTTTGGAAGCTGAAGCACAGAAAAGCTGTCTGTAAGACAGGAAAACATGCTCTGATCTATAAGGTTATAGATGGATGAGAGTTTGTCTTGTGAGATCGTATCCTGCATTTTGGTATTAGGACAACAGAAGCATCTAAAATAACATAAATCGTAACGCAATACTAACTACGAAGTACTGCATGCAGTGCATATTTTTTCTCTCTACAGAAGCTAGTCTCCAGGCTAAATGTAAGTGGATATCACCATTCAAATGCTCTGTCCCTTATAAAAGTCTTATTATAGAATATACTAATTATATTAGTGTATTTATATATACACACCCCACAATAGTGCAATACAAATGTAAATATTAATCATAATTTTCATACACAACAGTTATTGAAGTTTAAGTAAAATAACTTTGCCACAGGTAGAAACAGAACAAGTCATTTCATTTGTTATACATATTTGTAGAACTTCTCCTCAAGACAGAAGACCATTAATTCAATGCAAGTATTTCAAAAACTAACCTTAAATTTTTATTTCTTCCAAATAATATTCATCCTATTCTTTTAGCTCTACCTAGACATATTCTTACCTGAGCAATGAACTGAATAATCTTCACAAATATATTCAGAGGTGTGTCTCGCGGGACCACACTACGTGATCCTTTTGGGAAAAGTGCTGATACAATGCTCATGAGACGGCTACAGGAATTTAGAAACAAAACAACTTTTTTAAATAATTTTTTCATAATAGCAGAGATGTTACAGTTCAAATCTGGAGGGGGGTTTTCTACTATATAATACAGAAGCATATAACAAGCATATAACTGGTATGCCCACTTGTAGAAAGTAACAGCCCTCTACTGTCACAGGCAACAGTATCCTGGGTTCATATATAAAGTGGCCAAAATCCTGCTTTAAACTAGTTAGCAATAGTCAGGGGCGGGGGGGGAAATCTGAATGACTATTTCAAATTCTCATGATGCTAAATTTATAAAGAAAACCTTTTCATTTCCAGCCCAAACTTAGTGATGGCCACTTCATACCCTATTTGTTCTGCTACCATTAGTGCCTTTTAACTTTAACAAATTTCTTGCTGCTTATCTCTCTGCCCTCTTCTACCCCTGCATGTCCCTGCAAAGATCAATGGTGATTCAATTCTTTCTCCTCATCAAAATAATCAAGTTCTTTTGGTTTCCTCTTCTGAGATGAAGACTTTGTTCCCCTGTTTATCTGACTAGACCATCCCTGAGCTGGCTTCAATGTCTCTTCTGATATCACTGGGGGAAGTGGGGGAAACAACCCACCAATCAATAGTTTAAAACCCTATGCATAATGAACAAACTTACCTTTGAGTTACAGTGTTGCTTTCACATTTTATTCTAATAACATAAACCCACAATAACCTATACAAAGATTCCAGTGCAACTCGGGACATTTTGGGATCTTTATTCTGTAAAATAAATGAAAAATACAGTTACTGTTGCCTGTGAGACACTCAGAAAATTCAATTTTCACTCTATTGACTTTTGACAATAACAGTGAAAACTGATATGTTTGATATTGACTAGAAGTTTTAATGTGTTTTCATAAAAACACCACTACATTGCCCATTTCCAATACTACCTGAATATTTAACTAGTAATTCCAGGGTATTTTATGTGTCTTTCACTCTGACAGAAGTAACTAAAAAGCAGATATTCCTCTTAAGATGAACACCAAGTGTACTGCTCCAAGAACTTCTCTCAGAAAGCCATTTGTAACGAATACCTTCTTCATAGGAAACCAACTTAGTTTGTCTAAAACATCGGAGTAGCTGCTTTGGATCAGACATAAAGTCTACATCCATCATTCAGTTTATGACAGCAGACAGCAGGAGGCGCAGAAGAAATGAATGCAAAAGAAGGCAGGCACCCAAGGATGTTTCTCTGGGTGTGCCCTCCAGGCTTCACCCAACTTTGCCATTTCCTTGGGTTGTATTAGTGTTTACTCACTTCAAATTGATTTTTATTGTAACAATTAAGCTAGCTTTCTCTCAAATTACTATAAATTCTTGTGCCAGAATTCAGTTTAAATTATGCCCCATATGGAAAAAAAAAATAATCATTTTTCCCTTAAAGCTGATACTAGTAGTTTAGTTTTGCTCCTCTTAGCTCTTAAACCGTGTAAACCAATAAGTAGCTAAAATGTACCTAAGTATATACCAACTGGTACGTGAGTATGAGCTTATGGACAGATAAATGATTCCCAGGTGTCATCCTTCTACGCATTCTCTCAGTTAAAAAAACAAAAAACCAAAATGCAGCAAACACCACCCCAAAAAAAGAACTGCCAAACTGGACCTTCCCCATTTCTAGTTAAGTCCCTTTGTTTCAAGACCTATCTATATGATGGCTTGAACCTAACTAATTCCACATTTTGTGGCCTCTACCACAAGCCAGTAAGCCGGAATAGCAGACCACTCTGTTCTCCCAGGACAAGAGGAGTGCAGTTTCACAAAGGGTGTAACTGCATTTAAGACCATACTGTTTGAAAAGAGATGGTTTCATCTGTGGTTCCCTCCTCTGCAATCTCTCACTGCTCCCTTTGCATTGACTCTAGCAGTAAGAAAGTCCAACTCACACCGGTAAGCTGATTCAAGTAATTTCATGGCCATGTCTCTGCAATAAACTGACTATACAAAGGAGAGTAATTTGGATGGCTTTAAGATGGGTGGGTCAGTACTATTTGTTTTGGCAGCAGCTTACTTTAAGAAAGGCTAAAGCCCATCACAAAATCACAGAGGCAAATGTGGTATTTCACAGAAAAATAACATATATGACTTTATAACCGAGTCTATGTGAGGGACAACGCTGTTCTACCCTCCCTTCACACTCATCTATGTTGTCCTGCCATCACCTCTCATTTAGCACACCTGCAACTAGGCAGCGGGTAAACTGATGGTGATCTGCACAAAATCTAACCAGTAAAAAAGTTACATCTGTCCTTGGTTACTATTAGAAGAGAGAACTGTCTCACTGTTAAATTAACTGTCCAGTTAATTTACCAGCAGTGCTACTGTGAGGAAGAAGCAAACACTCATAATTGCACAAGAAGGTGAAACTGTGATAGCTTTGATTTTAATCAACTTAAGCCCATGGTATTACTACTCATCATACTTAATCTACAGGCCAACAGTTCTTGATGTTCAAAATAGGCTGGTGAATTCATTGGTAGTACACATACTATCAAAGTCTATCTGAAATGCAGTGTCTAGAACCAAATAATGCTTGAATTTTCTTCAAATATTCCAATGGGAGCTTAATTTACAGGTGCAGAAGAAAACCAAAATTTAGTATTGCCTTTCGATCATCTAATTAAAAAAATGTATAGCTAGCAGGTATTTTACAATGTGTTAACGACATCCATCTGTTAGGAGGTTTATCATTAGTATAGCTACTTCTGATTAACTATGACAAAGTTTGCTTCTTTGTTGAGAAGGGATGTATAAGGAGGCATTCACCTTTTAAAAAGGGTTACAAAATAAATCCAGAAATGCCTCTAATTTCTTAAGCACTGAAAATTCTCATTATTTCTTCCTCCAGTTTAGGAACTAAGCAAATATGCTAGAAGAAAATGGCTTTTTGATCTAATTTATGGCACACTGTTTATATACTTGGTGTTAGTACATCAGTATTTCCTTTTCTCTTTGAGATTATTGCAACTAGAATGCAATATACATGGCCATGTAATTCACCAATCTGGCTGAATTTCAGTCTCTTTAGCTGATGTCTGTTAAGATTTTGAAGCACTCTATACAGGGGTTTTTCCAAACATAGTTTTGCCTAAAATCCTAAAACTTTTAATATAAATTGTATCAGCATACTATGGAATAAGCTGTGATGAACCCTATCTCTGTTACAAAGCCAAAAAAGTAAGAGCAAATCTACTGTGGTCTTACATGACACATTAAGATGAGTCAATGAAACGTATCTCAACAAGGGCAAGGAACAAAACAGCATTTTTTCCACGTTAGTCAAATGTAGTCACTTACTGAAGAAAACACTTTTTCATACTGATGTTAAACTTTTCTTCTGTTCTGAACTAAAACAATTTCTACTGTTTAAAACCTGCAAAATCAACAGTGTAAAAAGCCTTTCAAGTTAGTGCACCGAAAGTTGTTAGATTAAATCAGTTTCATGGTTTTTAATTGTGAAAATGTTTTCAACTTTGCTTGCATGCAAGACACTTTTTGAAATGAATTACCAGGAAAAACCATACATCTGAATAGGTAGTCTACTTCCAGTGGAAACACCCACTGCTGTTTAGGGGAACCAGTTATGATATTGATACTGCATCTCACAAAGCCACATTTTCAGGCCAAGGAAAAAATTGACATTAGATAATTTTCTGATCTTTCTCCTTTACTCTCTGGCAAGAAAAAAAGATCTTTGAAACATCAGCTATTCTTAGTCCTGTTGCTTATTAATAGTACCGACAGCGATTTTACAAAGAAAGGAAAGCACAAAATAAAACAATCAACATAAAAAAAACCCAAACCAAACCAAAGTATTTACATGAGACAAAGCAACATTTCACTAAGTTACAACAATGCATTAACTCACCTGCAGTGTTTCTATTTGTTTTCTGATACTGTTGTTAGATGGCATCTAAATAAAGCAATGTGAGACAGCAAAACATAACAAACATGAGAATGGAAGGCACATGCATGTTAGATGAAAAAAAGCACAAAACTAACAGATAGCTGCCTAGTAAGGACTCTATTCAGTAGAAATACAGGTTTTGCTGTAGTGGCAGAAAACATTCTGCCAACTTCCAAGGTTTTGCAGTAACAGCCATTAAGGTTAAACTGTGAAAAAAGATTATTCTTTTCCACCCAACAGTGGAGCAAAATTACTGACACTTCTCTCTCTCATTTCAGCAGTTTTCTTACATGTTCCTTCCTCTCCTTCCCAGAAGAGGTGGTAAGAATACCACAACTCAGCTTCATCCTAGAATCTATCAACTTTTCTGATAAAACCTGCTAGAATTAGTCTATCTAAATACTAATCCAAAAAGCAAGCAAAATGTTTTACAATGCTGACCCAGTCTTATTGTTTGCTGAACAAATTCAGAATTTTGCCTACACTACAGCGTGTAAAGAAATGCCCTGCTGGGCTCAATGCTGAAACAATATCCCAACTGCTTTGTGGGACAAGGCCAGCTGTACGTATACCAAAAGACACCCTTTGGTACACTCCAAGTCTAAACTGACTCTTAAACCTGCTATTTGCATCGGTCCGGACCCTTACGTTTCCTCCTTTCAGCAAGATGTGGATGTTTTTCCTATACAATAAGCCTGCTTTGAGGATAACTAAAGGTAGTGTGCACCAAAAGCCAGTACTAAGACTTTACAAGGGCAATAAAAATTGCCAGTACTGGATTAGGATTCAAAGCAGCCTCAGGTGCACTATCAAGTATAACACAGCACCATAATACTGCAGGGTAAGGCAGGGTATGAACATACTTTGCATCAGTTACTGTGGAGCAACTACAAAGATGTGAGCTTTCACACCAGGGCAAATGGGAAATTGCTTATTCCTGTCTCCAAAGTGTGACTACATGGTGTTCATTGCTAGGTAAGAGTTTGCGCTGGGCAGTCACCTGGGAATGAAGTGAGCACCATGAATCCATGACCTATGTTACCTCTTGGTGATTTGCTAACAGGCCTGTACTCTTCACAGAATATCCCTGCGATAAAGTCTAAGTATTGTCATTATTTCATTTGTTAATTTAACTTACACGGGAGGGGTGGATGAACCTTTTTAGTACTCTAAAGTATCTCTCAGTAACTCTTAAAATTACTTATTAAATTATAAAAGACACTAGAAACACTGGATTTGGAATCCTATTGCATTTTACATATTTAGGTAACTGCAAAATAAATTTAGTCATTAGGAAATCAGGAAATAAAATGGGGAAGAGGAAATCTAACAGACTAAATTGCTGTGAAATTCAGATTTATAAATTAATGAGATTACTTATTACAGAGTGCATGCATTTAATTAGCTTCAGAAACAAAGAAACACATTAATTTGTAAGACACATGAGGACAGTGGAGGTGTATTTCTCAAGATTGAACTCAACAAAGTTTCTGAACAAGGCAGGTATCCAAACAATAGTACCAACAGAACCAATAGTATTTGGTGGGCAAATTAAACCAAGCCATAAAATATCCCAAATAACTCATCGATGACACAGCATCATAACACTGCAGATTCTGAATTGCAGAAATTCATATGTAGAATTTCTGCTGAATAGAGCCTTACAGTAAACATGTTAAGCTGTTAGTGGTTAACAGAATTAAGTAAAATATAAAATGCATGCTCAGCAACTACCAGTTAAACTTAATGGCATTTATAGTTCTAATACATCCATTATCAGCAATGGACATTATGCCAGAAATACACAACTCCTACAATGAAAGAGTTTTTTTAAAAGCTTTAAAAACAAAAGCAAAAAGCAGCCTCCATAAGCAAAATCAGTAACAAAACATAAATCAAGGCAAATACTGCAAAAGAACTGCAATGTTAGACGAAAAATATACAAAAACCCAACAAGCAACAGAAAAGTGTGAAAGATGTCATGAAAACAAAATGACCCAATCCAAGCAGCTAAACCTGTTTCCTTTTGACTTCATGCTGGTTTATGTATTTTACTAATAAGCTTCAGAATTGTCACTCATACCTAACCAGAATGAATATTGTGAAGTGGATCAAAGAATTTATTAAGATTATCAAAATCAATACATTAGGCAAAATCATGAACTGTGTTAATCAAAATTAAGGAAAGAACATGTACAACAGTTAATGTTACAAGAAAGTCATTAAAACAGATCCCTAATTTCAAAGTATCTTGATCTCTTCATCAACCAATTCATGTTTACAATGATATCAACTGGAGCCACAAGTTAAAGGGACACTGTAATTTTTATTTGGGAAATATGTATCACAGGCTGTAGGTATAATCTCTTTCCTGAACTCCCAATTCATTTTCTAATCCTTCAGTAAGTGAACAAGAGAGAAATTTTGCATTTACCATACAGGAGGAGACAAGCCACGTATTTTCTCACATATAAATTGCACATGAAGAATTACAGTTTGTACTTTCTCTGGCATAAACAGTGTTTATTAGCAGACACTTCTCCTGCAGCTTTTACTCAATAAAACTGATACTCCCCCTAAGGGGCCACATCTATTTCCAACATTAAATAACATCACAAAAACTCACTACTAAGTTTAATACTAATGGAGACGAGACATTTAACTTGGGTTTGTTTTTTTCTTAAGAGAAGTATTTCACAGTGTCCTTTTAAACAGCCAAATATTCATTGTTTATTCGGCACAAGGATGCTGAGAACACACTGGAATAAATGCTATCAATTTGCAACAGTTTCTGATTGAAAAGGATTCTTACCTTCAGATGTGACAAACAGTTCTGCAGGAAAACGTGCCAGTTATTTAAAAAAAACTGTTTCTGACTGACACACAAGAGGCAGGTGATCAATGGATACAAAGCCTATGAGTAGGGGGGAAAAAGAATTGATCAAATTGCTCTTTGCAGACCTCCAAAGTCTTGTACATGGAGAATAAGGCACACAGTCGGTTCTTGTCTCTCACAATGTCAGCACTGCACAACAAAACAGCCTCTCCCCTGCACTAGAAGACAGATGCCAGGCAATCTACGTGCTGTAAGAGCTCATGGTGTAAGGCCAGGGCAGTGGAACCATGGTGAAGCTCATCCCCTAGCAAGTCCTGATCTCAAAGACTGAGAATTGATCTCACTCCTGGGCACAATATTCTCTCTTTC